CACACAAACACACCTCTGGTCCACTATCGCTAGTCTGCAAGATCTAAACAAAACGTAAAGCTGCATTCAACAGACATCCACGACGGGCTGCAGCAGCCACGAGGAGGAAGGGCAGTGGGAGGGTGAAAGTGTAACAGCAGCGCTTTCAGCCGTTAAAAGCAACACGAGCTGGAAGACGAAGACGATTATTCTTATAAAGGAATGCAGTTATGTCCTTCGTCCTTTAGTGTCCCTCGATCCATCGTAGGTAATGACAGGGCGGATGCCGCGTGTTTAAAGCCACGCCTTATTAATCACTGATAAGAAAAAAAACGTTGGCTCTCCCGCCCGCGGTCGGGTCACATGCGTTGATTAGAGGGCGAGCGCCCGCTCAAAGACAAAGGCTCTCCTGCAGACATTTTTGTCCAGGGGGCCTTGAATGTTTCACTTTCCTCTGAAAACAGGAAGAAAAAAAAAATCATTTCATATGTGTGGTTATCACATATATAGAAATGGAAAACAATTATGATTTGGCCGGGACTAGATGGGCCCTTTTCAGGCGCCGCCGGTGTTGAAAGGTTTGTCATGAATTAGTTTTCTTTCATCCCTGGAGGCACTGCACGTGGTGAGCTTTAAGGATAACACTGGTTTTAACCTATAGGTACGTTGTTGCTATTATTGCCAATAAATTAGACCAAAACTGACGATGCAGGAGTCCATCTAGTTGACATGTGTGTGACCGAGCCCCTGGAAGCCTAAATAATGCCCTAAAACATCTGGACACTGTGTTCTATAATAAATGTTACTCCTCAACAGGAGTTAGCAGCAAATTCGTAACAGACTTTGAGTGGAATTATTACATCAGAGATTTGGTGAATCAATGTTTATGTAATATGACAGCAGGATTCGGCTTGAGGAACTACAGCTTCCACGTTCATGGACAACGTTAGTGTTCTATAACACAGATGAATGAGATATGTTCAGCTTTGACTTGTTATACGGCCAATTGAGTGATTGGTCTTTCATAGGAACTTTTTGAAATGATAAAAATTAAAAATGTCACTTGCCTGAAGCGTGCTTCTAGTCTGATGGTCCTGAAGCTCCACTACTCCCTTCACACCCGTCGGACGTTTGATTCAACACAAAACAACAATAAAACACTCACATCTACTTTTATTTTAAATGTCTTGAATGTTTACTAAAAACATTACATTTCTCACCACGTCAGACATTAAGGTGAACATAAAGTTCTACTCTTAATGCTCTCCAACCCGCGGAAGCTGAACCGTTTCAAATGAAGCCGCAGCAGTAGATTTTGTTTTACGTGCAGGAAACAAAGACTCGGTGCAACGTCAACTTGACATGCATCACTTCTAAACCGGGTTCATGTCGAACGCAGCACATCGCTTGCTGTGCTCGAGCCTCTTTGTGCTTGAGAGGCCCAGATGAACCCCTGTGGTGAGCTGCATGCAGGCTGCATAAATATTTTGATGTAGAAGTTCCCTCAAAATTTAATGGTGCTAGTTTTACTCTTCAAAACAAGCTCAATCTTTAAATAGGATTGATGGGCTGTTGACTGAACCCGCAGTCTCTACGTTACATTAAAACACCCGTGATGCCGCTCGGGAAAGTGTAAATTGATTAGCGAGGAATGCTTGATTTATTTCAACGGTTTATATTCGGACAGCTGCACAGCGTGTTTTCTAAACAGGCGGACGCGGCTTCATTCAGATCACTTCATAAATGTAACTCACGTTTAAAGTGACAAATGATCATAAGGTATCATTAAAAAGTCATTAGAGTGCGAGGCTCCTGGTATCTCCTGCACGTAACATCGGCCTTCAGAGCAGGAATTCAGGATATAAAAATTACAAACCTCCCCGTGAAATATTGATCAATCATTTTGCTTTCAGTCTAAAAGGCGGAAAGACTCACTTAAAGGGCGACCTCAAAGAGATCACAGATGCTTTCACTGGCCAGCGACATTGAGGATCGGTGTGGAAATGAGAAGGTAAAATCTTGCATGTCAAGGTCAATGAGAAGGTTAAGGGATCGGGATTACGATTAAAAGAAGATTTAAACCCTCCGGGCCTTGGTTTCTCCAGCTTGTATGTACTTTTATTGTAGCGAGGTCACTGAGGAGCAAAAGGGAGGATGTGAGGTGGAGTGGTGGCTGATCCTGAACTTGATACTTGACACCTCATGATTATCGGGGGAACCATTTTAAAGGAGCGAGCGAAACGTGGAGGTGCTGAAAGAACTAATGGCGCCTTGTGAGATGGAAGTGAAAAGGGATACGGTTCTACGGTAGAACTGCAAAGCGGGGAAAATGTGGTGACGGTTAACACCGGGGACTTCTCTTCAGATCCACCCACCCAGAATCCTCCAATATCACTGTCGCCATCACTCAAGTGACAAAGACTCTGAGCTGCAACAGACAAAAATACCGCCTGCTAAGACCTTGTAAAAGTTACAAAGATGAAGTCTAGATGGGAGTCTGAAGGCAATGCAGGATTTGTTGCTGACTGCTTGTAAACACGGTTCATAATTGGCCCCGCCTCCACGCCAGAAGCACACGCCCCCTCACAGCTGACACACAGCCCCTCACAGCGGTCCCCTCAGAGCGGTCACAGCGGTCTACCAGGGGCTGCAAACACCCCCATGTAGACCTGCAGCAGCAGACGTGAAAACAAACCCCAGATTCACTCAGATTCTGGAAGATCGGGCACTTGGCATTTTGTCTCGCTGTATTTCCTTCTTCTTTTCCGAAGCCGTGTCCACCGTTTTAGTATCTTCCACTTGGGTGAGTTGGTGGCAAACGCGTAGCGGGGAGACACCCAGTATCCAAGGGGGGGAAACAAGGGAGGAATAAGAAAACACGCAGAGGGCCGACGCCTCCACACACTTAGTGATGTCACGTGGGATGATGGCGAGGAAAAACTTTATTGTACGCTATAAAGTGTGGGAACTATTTGATTTATTTAGGCCTTTCAAAACAACTGAACTGAACAGAATCTGAATTTTTTTTAAAGCAAAATGGAAACAATAGCACAACCGTAGCGTTGCCAGGAGTCAGAGAACTTTAAATGGAACAAAGTGGCCGACCGAGACGCTTCCACAGGCGGTTTGGATTGTGGAAGGACGAGAAATGGAAAAAAAACAATCTGTCACAGCTGCAATGAAAAAAATAAGTGCAGCAGGAGCAGTAAATTACAGCCATCCGCTGGCCTGTAAAAGTTATGACCGGGGGCAATTCGGGCATGCAAAGTTTAACGAGGACCTAATGAAAAAAAGCTACTGCTTTTGGAAATGGTGGCAACACGTGCAGATTGTGTTCTCCATCACAGGCAGCTCAGGCCAGGAGGAGACGTTGCAACTTGGATTTGAATGTGATAACATAAATATCTATCAGTATCCGACTTACAAGAAGATATTTGTTTGTATGTCATCAATTTAGGCTCAGTGGAATGTAAACTTGAAAAAAACGACATTCTGCAAACATCTGAACCACAAATCTAAAACTGTGCGGCAGAAAGATGAAATACTTAAAAATAATTCATTTTTCTGCAAGGAAGCTTCCTCCTCGGTGGAAAGCAAATCTTTGAGTTTGAAGTAGAGGTTCAGTTTGAGAAGATAAATGGTGTCAATAAATGTATTTTTTGCAACGTCGCAGAAACCGGCACATCTAAACAGACTCATCCACAAATCCTAATCTTACATAAAGGATAAACCTGGATAAATAATAGTAAATTATTCATAGATATATACAAACACACAGATATACACGTCGTTTCATTTGACATATGCCTGTGAAGTATGAAAAATAGAAAATGTGGTCAAATTGTATCACCCAACGGTGCGTCATTTGTGAACGCATGATTGATGCCAAACACAACATCTGTGTAGGATGCGTTCTTGAGGGGAAATATGACATGCAAGGATAAGCAAAGAATAAATGAGGGCCAAATGTTTTGAAAGCCAAAGTGTGGATCTAAAAACACAAATCTCTATATGAAATCATACCATTGCCTTCTTGCACACTCGATTCTCCCCGCCGACCATCTCCAGCCACGGCTGCCTCCACACAGCAGGCGCTGCAGGGAGAGACCGACGAGCGCCTCTGTTGACTCGACACCACTGCAGCTTTTACTCCGTCCTGAGACAGATAGCTAATGCATATTTACTCCCACAGCTGGGATACAGGAACAAGTCCTGCAAACCCCAGTGGAGCTACAGTGTCGGTCCTCAAAGCCAGACGCATCGGAGAGGCGATGCGACATCTTCATTCTACTCTCTCTCTCGCTCTACTCAAGGAGGCGTATTAAGCCAAAGTCAAAAGAGGAACTTTATCATGAAGGCAGGTTGCCTGCCATGTAATAGATAACATTCTAAACACATGTATGTTCTGTACTAAATTAACTAAAAACTTGAAAGTTCAACAGTGAAGCAGGGGGCAATTTGGACGCCATATTTGTAATTCTGTCAAATATGAACAGTGCTGGAGTATAAATCTTTACTTTTTGAAATACGTACAGGGACCGTTGCCTTCGTCGTTCTGTTTTTTTCAGCATAAGTCTCTAAACTACTGAACCAAAACACTACTGGTTTGATAGTTAAAAGCCCCCAAACACTTAATAATCGGCGTGTGTATCCAGACTTCCGCATGGGACATTTTTCATGAATAGTTTTGGTTAATATGAACAAACTGCCCCATCCAAATTAAAATTCGTACTCAAATAGTTTTTTTTGTGACCTTCAGTACAGATAACTTATGAGGCACGATCACGGTCTGGTCCTTGTTCAACTATTCAGGGACGTTCACCATGACTGACAGAATATTAAGCTTGATGAGCAATTCATACATGAATGGGAATACATAAGTATGTGTTCATTTTGAAGTTCCATCTTCAAACTGGACTTGTAGAGCTTTTTAACAAGTCCGTCCCTTGTTGGTTGTTGAATGACCTAAATACTCAAAATCACAGTGAAACATTAGAACTGGAATAGATGCAACGCTGCGGTTTTCTTTTAAAGTATCTTCTTTAATATTAAATACGTGACTCTATAAACATAACATTTATCCACATATAAAAGCATGTATCACTATTTACACTCAGCCCTCAAAAAGAGCCCTATGATACAAACAAGAAATATCCTGCAACTATTCATAAACGCCCCTTCACGTCCTCAGATTACAGCAGTGATTGTCGCAGCATTTCATATATTTCAGGACTGACAACCTCTCTTGAAATGTCAATTTAAGGAACATTCATCACTTAATCTTATTGCTAAGCTCATCCAAATATTAACATTTGTAAGTGCACAAGGGCCCACATTCAATTCAATCATGCAATTGGAATTGGTTTTGACACGTGTACCAAACCCGCCACATGTACCCGGAACACTTTGGGTTAAAAAAAATGTAGTTGGTGTTGTTGGGCCATTCGCTTTTCTATCTCATTTCAAACTACCTTAATGTGACAAATATAACCAACTCATTCCTCCACCTTGGATTTCCTCTTGGAGGTTCTGGGTCTGGGATTCTCCGACTCTGCAGGTTTTGGGGAGCCTGGAGGACCAGTGGGGGGGCTGGGGGCTTTCTCCACGTCCGCTTCTGGCTCGAGGGGCGTGGGGGGGCCTTCGACAGCTCCTGGAAATAACAAAAGCAGGAGAGCTGATGCCAACATGGATCAGAAAAGCGCTTCAAGTTCTCAACAATCCCACTCATGAAGCGGTTTGTGTGGCGCATCAAATGGGTCTCCATACTCAGGAACTACGAGGCCTGGAGGGGAGGGAGGGGGAGCAATGGGATATGGGTTTATTCAGTGTCGCCTGAAATGAATAATATTTATTATTTTGTGAGCGTAGAGTTTTTATTACCTACACAAATAGAATCCATCATCATCAGTATGGATCCTGCTCCAGACACACTGCACTCAGCTCATGACGGCTACGCCGACCTCGCCGCTCGACTCCAGTGGATGTGCATGAATGGAGGCGAACAGACAACACAGCAGCACTGTGTTTGCTAATGAAACACAGTCTACTTCTGTGAAGTATTCTTTGGTTATCCACATGGAAACCATGACACCACATGTTGTGAGTGCAGGATAATTGGGGCCGTACTTTAGTCACGTACGGCACATAATTACATTTTCCACGAGTGACATTCCAGACGGGCAACTAAAATCGGCTTCTTTAAACGCTGCAATTTCCTCACATTTAGAACGAGGTGAATCTTAAGAAGCAGGAGTTTGACGCTTTAACGGCATAACTTTCACGCTACAGTTTGACCCGTGGCTCAACCGCTACGTGATAACCTCGTACCAACAGAACTAACCTGGTGGCATTTCGTTTGTACAAAGAACTCGCTCTGCCCTCTGCGACAGATTTCTTCACGAACCACACGGGTGAATTCCTAATCGTGATCATTCATTGACGTTATGCTTCTCAGCATGAATTTACTGTATGTTCACAACCAACTGTCCGTAAAGCACTCATTTTTAGGAGGAAACTCAGAAAACAGGCTTGTTTTTTTTTTTTCCTCCGGTCCGCTGACATCCGAGAGCTGTAAGCCGTGACAATCACTTCAGAGTAGCCTTCCAGTTATCTTAACTGCGTGTTCTTTTTTCAGGCTGCTGACTTTCTTTTGTCGTCAAGAAAATATGATGGCTCGAGGTTTGCTCCTTCTTTAAAAAAAAAAAAGCTATATTCCATTTGGCCTCAGCTCTCAAATTCCCTCTGCAGCAGAAGAAGATATCTTCCAGCTTCCATTTCAGATGGAAAAACCCGGCTTTGGTTTATTGAAGAAAGAGGTGGAGGCTGTGAAATATCACTGAGGGTTCAACACTGGACTTTTCTGATGAAACTCTCACCTCATTTCGATTTTGTGCTCAGAGCGAAACTAAAGAGAGACACTCAGGCAGGTCTCATCAGCTCCAGACTGAAGCTACAACGAGTGGGCGAGAGCATTAATTGACTCTTTCTACAAGCCGCAGCGGTCATTTCTACCTGATGGTTGCTGCAGGTTCTTGCTGTAGCTGGCGGCAGAAGACATGGCTTGGCCCAGAGCTTGGTTGGTACCAAGGGGAGGACCAGGGGCATTGGAGGCTGCGCCAGAGTTGGGTTTGGATTTGGAGTCCTTGCCGGGTTTAGTCCACACCAGACCCTCGGTCACCTGCAGGGCAGCTCCCATCTTCTGAGCCATGTCCATTAGCTGCGAGTGGGAAGTAGACGTAGAGATAAAGCCAAGACAACAACTGACTCAAAAAAGGGATGAAGATCAGAGGTTTAACCCGAAACAAAACATCAGATCGAGGGGGAGATAAAACCACTGTTAAAACATTAAAGCGATATGTTGTGCTGCTACAGTGTTTTGTCCTTTTCTCTAAACCGGCGCCGTGCAGACAGCCTTCTACTGAAGGTAATACACCGACTGCGGATCAGTCGCCACACTTCAAAAGCTCCGAGCTTCCCCTTCAAGTACCTCGGGATCAAATTCAAAGGTGCTATTGCTGTCTCGAAGTAGGTTGACTTTCCTCTCCATCTCCTGATACTGATCCAGAGTTGCCTTTTTATCGCCATGATTATAGAGGAAGATGGCAAAGTTGAGGTTGACAAGGGGGTTGGATCTGCCGGGCGGAAAAAGAACAGAGAATTTGAAAGACTCGGATTCAAAAGGCGCAGCACATTGAAGACGGGAGGACAGACTCACTCGTCAATGGTGGCAGCTTGCTCGTACGCTCTGGTGGCGTTCTCCACATCCTCCAAGTTGGTCAGAGCCACTGTCGAGAAATGAGCACGAGACACCACCTTAGCTCAAGTGTAAACCGGTCACGTGACCACCGAAAAGGCACGTTCAGCAACGTGTAACATCTAGCGTGCGCTTTACAAAAGGAATAGCGTGTAACCGGCGCAAAACGATTGAATCCTCCCACATGACCCCTCAACTTTTGCCACCATTTCTGCCGAGAATCGCCACAGTACCTGCCAGCAGCATGTAGAGTTCCCCCATGCGGGGGTTCAGGTTGATGGCTGCGCTGAGGAAGTGGAAGGCAGAGGCAAACTGCTGCATGGTCAAGTGGACCAGCCCCAGGTTGTACAGCACCTTCCAGTCAAAGGGGGACATGTAGTGGGCTCGTTTCAGGCAGCTGATGGCCTACGAGGAGGGAGGGAGGGGGGGGGGGGAGTTGGGAGAGAGAAAAAGGTTAAAAAAAAAAAAAGGTTGACCGATACTTAACTGAGAAAGAGAAGCGAACAGACAGCTTCACTCACGGCTACGTATTTCTTTTTTCCAAAGAAGCACATGCCGATGTTGTTCCAGAGGGGGGGGCTCTCCGGCACGGCGCAGGCCGCCACTCGGTACTTGCTCATGGCCACATCAAAGTCCCCGTGGGTCTGCATCATGCTGCCTGCAGCCAGGATGGCCTGGGAATGAAGGCGATGATTAGAGAGGCCGTGCGTATGATTAAAGACGGGCGTGTGACACCTGACAGAGAACGACCTTTTGTTTCAACTGAAGTGCTTTAAAAGAAGTTTGATGCACTGGTAATAGCCAGCACCGTTCATACCAAAGCAGAATCAGTCTGTTCGAATGTCCACATACCTTGTAATTGTTTGGGTCAAAGGTGAGAGCATTTCCAAGGTGCTCAAATGCTTTTTGGTATTTCCCAAGCTGTCAAAAACATCGATGTTACATTAAAGCCCGTTAAATGTCTTTGACACCTACAGTAAATGTCACCTGCGTGTACACATAATCGTACATACCTGTAAAAACAGCAGGCCGAGAGTAGTCAAGAGTTCAGTGTTCTCTGGAGAAAATCTGAATCGAAGAGGAGACAAGTAGAATGAAGAATGTCCCCGTACCTACGCCTGTAATTACGTTTAATGCCTGCAATTATTCCTCAGCAAACAAAGTTGATATTCAGGGAATCTGCTGATTCAATCAGAGCTTAATTCAGCATAATTGTGGAGTATTAATTATGACCTGTGGGGGATGATGTGGCTCTATGAAAGAGGAAAAAGGAAAACGGTAGAGAATGGGCATGTGTGCATTAAAATAAAGGATCACAGTGGTACGTCTCATCAAAGCAACATCAGTATTGGGGCACTTGATTAATTCATGTAGCCTCAACAGGAGGTAGCCATAATGAGCTCTGCTATTGTAGACACCGATGTAATTTAGTGATCTACGCCAAGAGCTAATGTTGGAATATTCAACGCGCCGATAGAACTGGAAATACGTGGAATTATTACTGAAGTAAAAGTGGCAGTGCCTTAAAATGCAGCAAAACCAGAACTTTGTGAGAGATCCAAAAACTCCTCGGATAAATCAAGAGGCAAGTTTATGGCTATTTGCTTTTTCATCATGTTATGTTGAGTTATCATGAGGATAGCTGGCACGCCGAGTGTAAATATTGACAGAGATTTTTTAAAAGCTTCCCTCGTGTGTCGGAGATGAAAAACTTTGGCCTGGCAAACAATTCCTGAACTTAAAATGTAATAATTGCAATTGATTGCTGTATATATATATTATAAATAAAAAAAATTTAAATATCCCTGTGGACCTGCAATGACAGCCAATAATAACATATACCTCAAATAAGTGGTTATTTTAAATATTTCTTTCTTTAGATGTCTTCTCTGTGCTCTTTCACAATGTCCACGCAACCTTTACTTACTCCACGGCCATCCGCAGCACTTCGGCGGCCTTGTCCGTTTCCCCGGCCAGCAGATGAACCTTCCCGAGCATCATGAACGTCTTGTCGTGTTTATTAATCCGGAGAGCTATGTTTAGCTGCTCTTCAGCCTGACCAGAGACAGGAGATGAAAATGATTAAATCAAGCCGGAATGAGTACATCTTGTCCGGTCTGATGTCGCCATACTCACATGTTTCAAGTCTTTGATGAAGAAATAGCACAACCCCAGATTATGACTGATCTCCTGGGGTGAGAAAATGTCAGATTATACAGGGCTTGATAAAGATTAATTCAATTTCCAAGTGTAATACCTACTTGAGACAAAAGCCCTGTGGAATACGAGCTTTAAAGTATTACTCTCAAAAATATACTAATGGTGCAGCTTCATAGTGGTCTGGGGGTGCAAACACGGAGATTATGTCTTAATCTTTGCATGAAACGGCGTGCCGCCATTCCAAACTCAGAGATTCCGATGAGAGGATGTCATGCTGTGTATTTAGGGTGAAAGATGCCAGGTCCACTTAACACATGAACTTTAAGACAAAGCAGAGTGTTCCTTTTCGGTTACCCAGTCTTTCTCATTGAGCCTTGCAGCTTCGTGATAGAATTCAATAGCTGCTTTGTGCTTTCCCAGGAGAAATCTACGGAAACAATACACAACAATAATCCATGTGAGAAACGAATCATTCACTGCACGCGGAATGGCAATTCTTACAATCCTGCAATAGTGAGGAACACCCGCTGTGGGTGGCTAAACCTTTCTCTATAGCACTAAAAACAAAACGTCGTGGCCATAAGTGGCCTGCAGTTGGGCAGCGATCACAGATCTCCTACGTCTGTCCTGGTAGATACTGGGGATGGGCGGACGCACCCCCCGGCTTGAGGGCAGCAGACTCACAGCGATCTGGCCACTTGCTTGAGATTGTCGGCGCTGCTGGGATTCAGGATGGCGCAGCTCTGGAACAGCTCCAGGGACTGTTGGATCTTGCCCTCAAGACGCATGATTAGTGCTGTGCGAAGGGGTTTGAAACACATTAAAAAGAATCAAAGGCACAGCATGGGGTCCAGTGGTTTTTGGGGGAACTAAATGATGCATCGAGGAGCTTGGGCGTCGACAGCCACCGAGGCTTCGTTTGAGGAAGCTCCTAATTAACACCGTACACCTCGCCGGGGTGAGACGGAAGAGTTAGTTCTGAAACTCGGGCTCACCTTGGACATAAATCCCGTATTCACACGTTCCGTTAGTCTCCTGCAGCTGCTCTTTGATGATCGCCTGCACGGACAAAGAAAGACAGACCATCTCTACGCCGGAAACGGACGTTTCTGTGGTTGAGCTTTCCCCCCCCCCGAGACTCTGATGTATTAATTGACCCCCCCCCCCCTCTGATCCACGGTGCGCCTCGGCGAGCTCCTTCGCACTGCTGCGCGTAGATGAACCAAAATAGCAGATGTCTGCTTGGAGACGGCCGCGCCGTCCTTCTGCCCAAGATGTCGCCTGGGCAGAAGGACGCCCTCGTCGCAGCGCTGGCACGATTAAATCAGAGCTCTGAGAGGGAGAGGAGTGCATCTCTTCTTACAAAGAGACAGAGAAGGAGCAATTCAGTAATGCATCTCATCAAGTACCTGCCGGCTTCATGAGGGAATACACAAGTCGATGCAGTGAATCAGCCCATAATAAAGGGTGTTGCGGTAGAACGCCAGGCGTCCATGAGCATGGTCATTATTTTTGAAAAGGTTAAATCAGATCAACACTGAGCAGATCAAGTCGTGCACGACAGAGCAAACCAAAGGGAGGACGGAGCAGGAAGGCACTTCACCTTGCAGGTATCGTAGTCCTTGCGGATGTAGTGCTGGTGGATCAGCCAGTTTCTCCTCTCCACGATGGGAAGCTCTGGAGCTGCAAGCATGAATAGAATAAAAAATGGGAAACTTTTAGGCTCATTACCCTTTCAGTTAATGCCTTATTTAGTTGAAAGCTGAATGATTCATCCTGGAGGCCCCCCTCCTCTTCTAGTCCTTAGCGAGTCTCTGATCTGACAGTTAACACACAAGTAACACGTCGGCCCAAATCCACAGGCTAAGTTCAAGTCACTTCACCGAGCACGCCGTAAATCTGTTCCCCGGGCTTTTATTCTATACGGATCTAAAGTTCGTTTTTGTATTTATTCTTGTCTTTAATTTGTCAGTTGAACAAGTAATGGTAGAAAGCGTCCCCCCGCTGTGCAGTCCGCAAGTCCGTGATCTGACAGTAACACAGACGTTAACACCTCAACCAAAAGCCCACGAGCTGAATTATAATCAATTCACCACCTCTAATTGTCACCTTGTAAGCACGTTGTTGTTTTTCTGTCTCGAGCGACTTGAGATATTTCCCGGTTGCCAGGGCAACAACGTGTCTCTCGCGGGACAGGCGCTTGTGACAGGACAGAGGCGGCACAAAGCCAGCTGTGCGAGGCGTCCGGTAACCCCGAGAACCCGACCACAAAGCTCCAGGACGGACAACATGTCATTCCTCAAGGAGGCAAAAAGTCATTCCAATTCATGCAAGTTTGATTCTGCTAATCCGGTTATTTTACACCCACTACTTTCCCCCGGGGGCTGAAAACAGGATTTTAATGCGGTGTGGAAAGAAGTGCTGGGCTTTGAGTTTGTCGCTGACATCGGGGGATATTGTTAATGAACCTCCACAGTTAAAATATATATATAGTTTGAATTACATTACTGTTTTTATCTATCAGTGCTACAACTAGAGAGAAATCCCCTCCGCTTTCACACGTTGGCCCCCGTCAAGATTCGGAGTGACCCTCTTCGTGGCCTAATCCGCTTTCCTCCTGCCGAGGCGGCAGTAATATTCTTGTCTCCGGGTTTCAGACGGGGCCCCGTGGCGCTGCGGAGTCCACGCACACAAAGCGGGGCCGTGCCTGTCGGAGGAGGAAGGAGAAAAAAAATAATAATAACCCCGCACGTCAGACGCGGGTTCCTGGATGTGCGGTATAAAAGAATGGTGGAAAGGAGCAGAGAAGAGCAGCGCAGCGGGAGGTCTCCTAAATACGATTCTGTGGAAAAGAAATGTCATCCAAACATGGAGGAATTGTCTCATTGTTGTATTTGAACTTGCTAATGCTAAGACAGATTTGGCTTCCGTGAGCTCCGAGCGTGTGTTAAAGGGGGATAAGAGCAGAGGAGACGCCTGCTGAGATCAAAAGACACATGGGGGGAATGTAATGAAAAATAGGGGGACTTTTTTGGGGGGGTGGGGGGGGGAAGTTTCACTCTGAAAACTTTTAAAAACCCTTCGGTCTCCTCAAGTGATTTATTCTCATATTCATCTGCCTACACGTTTCCTTCCGAGGAATTTGACTGAAATCAAAGCAGATTGCGGCGCTGACACTTGATTCGGTAAAACGGAAACATGCTGCGGTGGAAAGTGGAGACCTTCCGCCACTGGCATGTTTGGTTGCTGCTGGTTTGAAAGAAACAGGACATTTACACCTCCGGAGTCCTGTAACAGCATTCCATAAAATGTTAGAAAAGCACTCAATGTATTAGTGCATAACATATTTCATTTTTACGTGTGCAAAATAAAGCCCAGACTGTAATTCATTAATTAGTATGAAACCAGAAGGTTATGGAGAATTTTTTTTTTACATGATTATTTTCCCTTCTTGTTCATATTGAGGCGGCTTTGGACCAAATGTCAATCAATCGTTTTATATGAACTATGAAAGTCACAATTGTCTTTTAAGGGAGTTATACAGTTCATGTTCATATAAATATATATATATATATATATTTATATATTTATATATATATATATGCCACTCTGTTAATGTTGTGTTGATACATTTCATCTTTCTGGACTCACTGTATGTTCTTTCTTTTCCGAGATCAATGACCATTTGTCAAGTAAAGATCCTAAATGATTCTTTAAGTGGCTTCACAATCTGTACAGCATACAACACCCTCTGTCCTTGGACGCTTTTACAGCGTTAAGTTCTTACTATCATTGTGAACTACTCTCTACTACATGGTTATTCAAAACATGAGCACAGAACTGTACACTTCCAATACATTAATACTTTAAAGTCTTTATTTTCTGTTTTTATGATTTTTGTAACCTTAGTCTTTACGAATGTAAAAGTAAAAGTCATACTAAGCACACGCCAATAAGATAATAAGATGCGAATTGAATGCGCAAGACAGCACTGCAAATACAATAGGATGAGATGCCCTCCAAGGACTTACATTCTCAGCAGTGCTGATGACAAAAATAAAATATTGTAAAAAAATAAAAAGACTAATCGGGAGCAACAGCCCAATGGGACATTAAGCCACATGTTATGATGATAAATCATCCAGGTATAATATATGATCAACAAACGTTTTCCACACAGGGAACTATGTGGAACACGGCTCATCTGCTACTTCCTTCGAGGGCCGGAGGACAGAAGGGGGAGGGTGACCTCTGCAGGACGATCACTCGAGTAGCATCCTTCACCAGTTACAGAGCGAATTAAAATCAATATACGGGACGCCTTAATGGGAAGTGAGATGTTTGTAAATCATATCATCGGGTGACTTCAAAATGTGACCCGTCTTGCTCGGTACCTTTAGGTGCTCGTCGCTTCTTGGCTTCAGTGGAAACCGGGAGCTGAAAATGATGAAATAAAATGAATGAGTAATAATTCATATCTTAATAAAATACAATTTATACCATATTTCATATAGTGTCACTCATGAACAGCAGGTATGATAGATTTTGGCCGCCCATAAATATGTTTTAAAGAGGTTTTAGTTCATGAAAGGTTGAGGGAGACAAAAAGTCTGAAAAAAAACAACCACAAACTAAAATAGAACATAAACATTTCAATAGGTCTAATGAACTGTAAACTAAATATGACTGTACAGTGATGAAAAACATGCCAATGTTAATACTAACATTTCATAAAAATAAGTTCTCACACATCCATCACATATATTTTCATGCTTACCCTTTAATGCTTTTAATCATTTTGAATGCAGGACTACATTGTAGTTCTACTTTTGAGTATACAAGTACTTTTTCCACCTCCGACGATGAGTAAACTTGGAATAAATTGAAAGAATAGTGTCAATCTGCATTTATTGAAGTTATTACTTCAGCTGGTTCACGTTGCCCGAGCAGATAGACGCGCATGCGCACTTTCAGTGCATCGCTTGAAGTCCTTTCCGCCCGATATTGGACCCACTCGAGTGCAGCGCCGCCGCTGACTTTCAGTTCATCACCAGCTAAGCTCTTCTTGTCACGACTCCCCGAAACGCGGCGCGTTATGGCCACAACGCGACGGGCACCTAAAAGCGAAGCGCCGGCTCCGCTTGGTGCAGAGCTGGACGGTAACAGCGTTACGTCACCTTCACTTTTAAGTTGACGGTGCGAAGCTCACGAGGCGCTGACTTCGCCCTGTGACGTTAACGTTGCCCACGCACTTCTGCTGCTATCACCTGGCTGCAGGTAGCCGGAGCCCCGCGTAGCTCTCGGGGGTGCAGCTAGCCTGCCCCGTGGGTGGCTGCGATTAAAGGCGGAATGCCGTTAGCTGCGGCTTAAGTCAGTTTAGCCCCGACTTGGAATCCGTCGGCCGGGAGCAGCTTGACATTGAAACGACGCGCGTTATTACGGAGGTTACGCTGAACAATCAAACCCCGTTACGCTAACAAGAGTGACCCGTCACCGCGTTTACCCGAGAAAACGCTAGCTTGCCCTCGGTAACGCACTCACCGCCGCGGAGACCTCCTCGTCCGCCATCTTGGGATGATCCACAGCGGAAGCCGTTGCCATGGATACGTGAGCGTTCACTCCGCGTGTCACCAGGCGACCATTGGGAAGCTTTAGTTGTATTTATACACAAATTAATGAACGACATATTCTTTAAATCGGGTACTCGTGGATGTTCTTAAAAGAGCGTAAAGGGAAAAATAATTACTGTTCACAAGAACAAAATTAACATTTCACACGTTTGGTCAAATCATTACTGTTAACCTGTATTTGTTAAATGAGATGTATCTGTGTTTTAGGTCATTTCCTAGTCCACATATCGCCTGAGATTTAACGTTCAGTTTCTATATACGTAAAAATGACATTTTATTCCATGTTAGGAAACCATTTTCATTTTTGCAAATACCCCGCCAGTAATTTACATTTTAAATTAGTCACCAATATGTACAACACACCATGATGGTCGAAAGGTTCCCTCAACAATAAACTAATTTCCCCATCAAGACTAACAAAGTTGGACAACACATTGAGCCTTGTGCTTAAATCCACACACAGGATTTGTTGTGCTCCATCTGCTTAAAGGCCGAGGTTACACCTAAACAATATGATTCAGTAACAGTAACGACATATCAGAATTCTTCAACTTATAAGATGTATATTCACAAGTAAAAATGTAAATACCCAACAAGTAGGTAGAACGCAGCGCAGAAATACAAAGTATTTGTGTCTATTTAGTAACAGGAGACATTGGTCTGCAGTATAATTAATAGATAATATCCAGATAAATGTGTTCGTTATGCTCGTTAATACACTTTTAAGTACTGCACATACATCTACATTCTATACTATGTCAGTAACCTAACATTATCAAACCTGCACCCTGTGTTTCATTTTATTCGCAGCAAAACTCCACATTGATTTTATATCTATCTATATAGATATATATATAAACACAAGTCTTCAGAAATCAACATGATGAATTAAAATGTTCCATCCCATTTAAACAATGTCTTCATTTGCCCTGAGAGGACATTGGTCACACTTCATCAGTGAAGCGATGAAAAGAGTAGAAAAGAAACCCTTCATCCCGTCCCCTTCATTAATCATCATCCTATACAGTTTTGTACACATCAAAAAACACTAAATCAGAGCAGAACTCAAACAGCAGGATGGATGCGTCTCGTTTCACGGATCCAGTACAGTGGTGTATAAAGTGGACTGAATGCGTTTAAAGTTGTTCATCAGGCGGAATGACATAAACGCTGCCGCTCTACATTCCGCTGTAATGACACAAACATATATTCATACATTAAGTGGATCCATCATTCAGTGATGGAGAAACATTCTCATGTCAAGTGAGCTGTTAAACTAATCCCAACTCCTCCCAGTGTTTATTTATGATGCGCCTGTAGGTTAGATATGAAAATCCAAGTGCTCCCCCTCCCGCGCATTTTCCAGTGAAGGGATTTAAATAGACGTACTTTATCACTAAACTCCAGCCCTGTTCAGTGGTGTCCCGTGCATCTTTAGTCGACCACGTTAAATGTATTCCAGTGACTTGCCAATTAACTTCCGTCACACCCGCCGCCTCCTTCTTCGCCCCGTTTGATTCAACTCCAGTTTTCTGTCTCCTTCCGAAAATTTCCCAGAATCAATTTTTGACGGCTGCAATCTAGCTGCACACTGATCAGAGTTCAATAACAAGCAACACATAATGTACGCACGCCCTTACATGCTGGTACAGGACCTCTAGCGTGTCTTCTGCATGTTTAAACCGTAGGTGGGGGGGAAAAAGCGGAGGACAATTTCTCTCCAAATGTTATGTTTTTTTGTTTTTTTTGTTTTCGGGGACTTTTTCACAAAACAGATCAAACTCTGACCCTGAAGGGGTTTGTAGCCTGAGACGCCGTCTAGTTCCCCTGGCTCCTGCCGAAGGCTCCCTGGGCAGCGGAGGCCGCGGCGCTGCTCGCAGCCGTCTGCACGGTTTGGTTGGTCAGGACGCCGTGGGAGAACTCGTGCTGGGCCTTGCTGAAGCTGGCACCGGTCCTCCTGTACTTGGAGTGGACCTGGAGACACAAGAAAGAAGGGCGGGTGGTTGTCTGAGATCTATACTACTCTTCATTTTTTTTTTTTTTTTAAGTCAACCTTCAATCAAACTGCCTCATCTGCACCGAATACAGATTTCAAATGTGTATTTGCAGTGTGTGTTGTTTTTGTCTGTATGCGGTTTAGGATTTTGTATAAAGAACCCTCTCGAAAATTAGAGGAAATATCTCAACGGGCAAAAATTTCAATTCAAGTGTGTTTATTAGCTAAGGGGTTATTAAAAACAAAATAAACAAATTTGGAATAAAGTTCAGGGCTACTAACTATTGTACATATTTGAATAAAAACAATGCAATGGTTGTCTATCATTCAAGTGTTTCAACATCCATCTACTGTTGCGTGGCACATTCCGGGTGACTCCTTTGTAGGCTGACCTATTTGGATCTTTACTGAACCTTTATAACCCTTCAGCCGTGTATAAAGTCTCCATATCCCCCCTGTTGGCCCTTTCATTGCCACGTTGCTCTCTTTGCATCTGCATGCGGCATCACAGAGTCGGAGCGCGAACGGACGACATATGAAGCCACAGAGGGAATACGCACACTTATGTTTGACTAATGAGGCCCTGGCATCTTCGATCTGACCTCGAACATGCGCACATACAAAAACAACCTCATGCAGCCTGGCCGTGGCTTATTGCATTTGACTAGACGACAATCAAATACAAACAAAAATGACCCGCAAACTAAAAACTGTTGACACGGTTGAGGATTCCCTTTGTTGGCGGCACGTTTCCCGTTAGCTTACCATCTTGAGTAGAATCACAGCCAGCACAGCGTTCACCGTGAAGAATCCGGCCACCACCATCATGACCACGGCCACGGGCAAGTTTGAGCCGATCATGCTGATGGATGCGATCCACCCGCTGTGGACGGCAGAGGCAACAAACAGCCATGAGTCGCTCCGCATTTACACCACAACAAGTGTAAATAAGTACAAAGAAAATGGAGGTTCGCTGCTAAGCTTCCCCAGTGACCAATAGAGAAGCATGACGTGTGAATAATGGAAAAGCCTGAGGTCTCATAGAAAAGAAACCCAAAGAGAAAAGTTCCACACACTTACAGAGCAGCGACCCAGACAAGTTAGGGCGGCTGGAATCTGTCAAAGAGATGCAAGAGAGGAAACACGGGGCAAGAACACACAAGACACACAATCACAAAGGCGTGAATGAAGAAACACACGGACCCCATGCGTACCCACGTTTACCATGAATCCACCCAAAGCACGCGCATTCTTCACATCAGCAGTTAAAGGAAAGGTTCCCACTGACCTGTTTCCCCACCTGGGGATCCCGACCGTCTGGATGATGTACACTGCCACTTGGAAGAAGAAGACAAAGAAGAAGAAAAAGAAGCTGAAGGAGCTGTCAGACCTAGAGGGGGAGAACAGAGACACAAGGACACGTTGTTACATATTATTATTAACGGTATTTAGGATTCAAGCAGTTTCTCTGCTGCCATATGTTGACTAAAGACTTTACACTTCAGTTTAAAAGACATTAAAGTGCAAAGATGATCAGGAAAGCTTTTATGTGTAGCACTTAATAAAGACTTGTGTTTCAATACAACTAAATAATCATAATACAAATGTTTTTTCAAAGAACTTTCTTTTGTCCATTTAATACAATATTTATTTTTAGTAAATATTCTTCACAATGAACCAACTGTTTGTCTTTTTTGTTTCTGTTTTGATAACTTCTTTATTTTGATTTTATCTTTATGACTTGCTGATATTATTTGTTGTTTTTTTTAAAATCAATCCCAATCTTTGTATCTCACTGGCGGGATGTTATGTTGTGTAAAACAACATTTTAATGAATAGATCACAAATTAACCAAATTTTAAATTTTCAGGGATCTCAGTCCAAGTATTGTTGAAGCCGTTTCAAATGGTTCTGGCAGAAAACAGCCTTTTTCGGTGTTAAAAAAATAATCTAATAAAAGTACTGCGAAGCTGGAAGCAAGAACAAAAAAATCAGATGGCAGCCTTTTTTAAGGAGCACAGAGACGTTCCAATGTGCTTCCTCTAACCCCTCCGGCTCAGTTGGAGGAGGAGAGAGTTATTAAAAAAAGAAAAAGAAAACCCTGCCAAATCAGCGTGTCCCATTTCCACTGCTCAAAAGTCAAGCAAATCAAATAACACCCAAAGTCAAAAACCCTTAACGCCGTGTACCTGAAGGCCTTGTAGACGGGCCTGTACCAGCAGACGAAGGACATGGGGGTGAAGAGGACGAACCACAGGATGGACAGGCCGAAGTCAACGCCGTAGTCGGCGCTCGCAGTGAAGTAGGCCAGGCAGGCCAGCACGTTGAGGAAGAGGGTGGCGCTGTGGACTGGGGAGACGCACGGGACACCAAAAGGAGCCGGTCAGCTACACACCACAGACACCAGGACAGATTCTGCTGGTCTTTGAATCGCTAAAAGACGCAAAAGATGTACGGAGACGCCCACGTGTCGGCGTGGCGAGCATACGGTTAAGACGAGGCAGGGGTACGTACACATCCAGAGGTAGTACATTCTCTTGCAGATCCTGCGGTACTCCTCGGGGATGTCCACCTCAAAGTCCTGATAGAAGCAGGGCTTCACGGGGGAGAACGAGGGAAGAGGTGGCCAGTTGTTCTCTTTAGCCGACACACGGGAATGAAAAACAAGCGGATTGGATTAACGTGGCGAGCGCGGCGTGGATTCGTGCAGTTGGCACACACACGCACAAGTTTCCCGCGCGTCTCCTAAAGCATCTCGTTACCTCCAGCGTTGGGCGTCCTGCCGGCGCCGCCGCTGCTGCTGCTGCTGCTGTTCCGGAGCTCCCTCTCCTTCCGCTCCAGCTCGGCGGCCTTCTTCTCCAGCTCCTCCTGCTGCCTCAACAGGTCGGCCTGGCCAGAAGCCGCGTTTGCCTGACGGAAGGGACGCGCCGTCAACGCCGGTCGTAGCCACGGCGCTTTGCCATAAGAAGCTCGTGACGGCGAGAGCCGAGGCCAAACGTCATCCTGACGTTCCGATCGGAAGTACCGACTCACTCCCGTAGCCGCGATTGATATGTTGATACTGAAGTCGGGCGATAATATAAACCGATGCAGGCTGATTGCAGATACGCTGGGCGAGGAAATGAGTGGCGTCTGTTTTGTTTTTTTTCAACCGAACTGAAAGTTGTTTCAAATAAACTCTTGATCACAATGATCTCTATCTGAACGTCACTACGACAATAAGTTCACCTGAACTACGTTGTATTGCTCCTGTATCCACAAGTTATTAAACCAGAATCAGTGGCCTGTTAATGAAGGAGAAGGAGATTTTACTTTTAATACATTAAGTGCATTTTGCAGATGATACGTGTTTGTTTACTTGAGTAACATTTATAATCCATGACTCTTACTCAAGCTATTTTAAATCCTAGTGTTTCTTATTTTACTTGAGTATGTCTTCCAACACTGCGTGTACATTATGTGTTTGTGTGAAAAAGAAACCATCAGCCTATGATGTTGTTTATATTAGAAATAAGACTGTACCAAATCTGGCAGATGCATCAATGTACAGTGTAAAAAAGATAAACCTTTGGAGCTTTCTGCTACACTAACTTTTAATTATTACGACAAGGTCTTCATTGTATACTGTAAATCCATCTCATATCAGGTCCTATCTGTCGCTCATTACTTGACCTTTGAATTTGTCTCCTGTCCCTCCTCCTCTTGCATCAGCGCAGATGGCAAAAATGTCCAGAATACTACTGCAACACACGCTTCCTCTAGTACTCATGAGCCTCAGATAATCCTCAAGGTCCACAAATCACATACAAGAGATTTTATACCAGAACATCGAATCCCCTTAACTTGTAAACACGTGTGTGTGTGTTGGTGTGTGTGTGTGTGTGTGTGTCACCTGCGCGCTCTGCTCCACGGAGGTCTGCAGGATGGCCGGCTGAGAGGAGGCAGCGGACAGGGGGATGGTCTTTCCAGTGTGCGTTTCCTGTGAGGCGATACTGCTTTTTAAATACCCACAGGGATCGACACCGAGTAGCTTTTTCTTTTTTTATGAAAACAGAGGAGCGAACCATTTCACTTGCAGAGAACGGGTTGAACTCCCCGGCGTTGGCGGCGGCGGCTCTGCTGGTGGCCTGTGTGATTGACGCATCCTGAGGGGGGGAGGGGGGAGGGAAATAGAAAGGGAGAATATCCAAGACACTTGAATTATTTGGTGTCCGAGGCCCAGAGGCTCAAACCAGTACAGGAAGTGCGCTTATTTCCCTCACACCTGCTATTTATAGACCTAAGAAGTTTCATCGACCAAAAAGGGTGTTTTATTTATTTAAGTGAGAAGGTCACAGAGGCACAAGCTCACCTGTCACCATTACTCCTCTGAGCTATTGGATCTGAAAGCACCCGAATGTGATAATGAACTTCTGATAAAAAAAAAGATAAACAAACACCGTTTTAAGTCCGACATCAAATTTCACAATATTCCCCTCGAGGATCTGGTTTCCAAAAACGCACCTTTAACGGCGAGTGGAAGAGTCGCGTTCGACGGTTAGCGTTGAATATCAGCAGGCACCTGATCGGCGGGCTGCTCACCTGCGCAGGTGCGCGAGCCCGATTAGCCCGAGCGCAGGTAACGTCAAACCCACTCGAAACAACTACAACTACAACTACACCGTGTTTTATAACAGCGACGCTTCCCAGTCAGGAAACGCAAAGGCCAAACCCAGCGACCGACCAAACAGGTTCGCGTTTCAGCCGAGACGATTCCCGAAAAACAAGCGTCCTCCAAACTACGCGAGAAACGAAAGCGACGCCGCGCTCACCTGGAAGGGATTCACGTCCACCGGGTCCACGAAGGGGTTGCTGTCTAATCCGGACATCGTGGAGGAAAGTTTCTCTCGCGTGGAATAAACAAGACGACGGCTCCCGTCTCCCCGGCGGCTGCTCCTGCTCCTGACGGTGGCGGTGGAGGAGGTGGTGCTCCCTGTGACACGCCGCCTCTCTGCGCATGCGCAGCCGCACAAAAAAAAAAAAACATAAAACCGCCGCGTCACCGGGAGTCGTTTCGGATCGATTAACACGTCGCGCCTGGTTGTTTTGTTTGTTTGTTTGTTTGTTGAAGCATTTAGTTTCAAGAATACGGTTATTGTGATGGTCTGAATTTAAACACGAATTTTATTCATGTGAATCAAATGCATTCGTGTCGTTTTGTTCGTCACTTTCATGCCATAGAACTGCTTATGGAATGTGGTAGATTATATTTTATATTTTTGTAAAATGGGTTGTAAGTAAACGTTTTGCATGTAGACAGATAGCCCACTTTAATCATCAAAAGTAAACGGAATCATTTTACATCTCATTTCTGAATAACAATATTTTATTACTGAATTGGAATGAATTGGTGCAGCTTAACACGTCACAATTCAGTCGATTTTATCCTTTGTATTGATGCTGTAAACCAGCAACTAACTAAAAGCGAAAGCTTGTTAAAGTAAAACGTATAGATAATAAAGTGCTGACCGTATACTAGTATCTCAGAAGTAGGTGAATGTACTTTGATACATAGCACACCACTGCTTACAGATGTGCATCTCTACAGTTTTACTAACCAACATGCCTGCTGATACATGATTAGATAGCAAACCAGACATGTTACACACGAGTAATAACACATAAGGCGGCATCACATTTAAGGCGATTTACGACTTGTTTTTGATGACGTCATCTTTGTGAGCGCACTCGGGTACTTTTTAAAAGTCTACTTTCTAAAAGGTCCTGACAAAAAACTCTTTCAACATATAGTAAAGACGTAAATACTCTCTACCTCTTTCATTTAACATAAGGTGTAAACTTAACAGATGTTTTACCAATCCCGTCTGAGGAAAGTTATTATTACATCTTGTTAACTGCTTTTATGTATTTTTATGTCCGGACCCTCTGACTCAGGACTTTACTATAATGTGAATGCAAACAAAATGAAGAGATGTTAGCTCCAGTTTAAATAGCTGTATCTCAAAAGCAGTCTAACCAGTTTATAATTATAAATTGCTGTTTATACCAGAGGAGAGAAATGGTCCTTTTTGGGACCTGGCCCCCCCCCCAGGCTTGAGTTATTCCTTAAAGTCATCTTAGTCAAATGACTTTACAGGACAAAAGCAGCCCCTTAAGGATGAACAAATAAGGGAGAGGCCGGCATTACAGACAACATACCTGTATATTATAATTATATAACAATAACCTCAAGAAACTATCGCTCATTTCCTTGTACTTTGACTAATGTTAGGGTACCAAGTACGCTGAATCAAGCAGATGACTTTGATTTGTAAGACATTAACATGTCGTTTCCTTTACGCTACATGGTCCCGTTTAATCATTGAAAACATCTGCACCCTTGCTACTTGTACCGAATGTATCGCATCTGTTTGTGGTGTCATTCTCACAGGAGCACGCTGGAAAAGAAGCCCTGGTGTACACAATAAAATGGCTGAGATTACAGAGAATAAAACAGAGGCACCTTTACAGTTAGTAGGAACACGTTTGCGTTTCCTACTTTGACAAGTCAAATGCGTGATTTGAAATATTTCATCTGCTGTTCCCTGAGACAATTGCAAAATACTGAAACATAGTGGGCAAAAAAAGACACTGAACAATAAAAACAAAACGCATAGGGATTTTATGTACTTTCTTGGTTGCTATTGAGAAAATACACGCGACAGGAGGTGGGGATGGGTTCAAGAATAGACTATACTGTACATAGGTACTGTACAATTACAATTGTGGTATGGCGGTTAAGCAGTGAATGCAGGGATTTCATACACATCCAACATTTTTACAGAGCTGGGATCCCCTTTCGCTGGAATGAACACCAGCTGACTTGGTCCCTTTGATGGCGTCGTTTCCCTTGTAAGGGGGAAACTTACAACACATGGAGTGGTTTTTCTCTTTCTCACACATACGGTCAGTCAAGCTGCATAAGTGCTCAGCACATATTCACACACACAACCATCCAAGTGCCCAAATCCGTGCATCTCTGTCCAAGATACTCATGAGAAAAAAAAAAAAAAAGAAGATAAATATTTGACTTTAACTACCCTACCCAGCAGAAGCTGGTGTTCCGGCTTTGTACAGTATTTATACCTGTATATTATATGCTATAAAGAATGTCTGTCCCATTAAAACGTATTAAATAAGGGAAAAAAATTGTAGTAACAGATCAACCACTGCTTACACTGACTGTAATAAACGGTAAACTCATAAAGCAGCTAATAACTGTGAGCTTTACTGTTTTCACTGTAACATTGTGATGTTGCCGGGTTTCATTTACTGAAAGTACACTGCTGCAGCTTTCCAGCTCTGTGACCTTCCGCCCGGCGCTTAGCGGTCAGTATCGTCCTCCCGCTCGGCGCGTCTCCTCGTGGCGCCGAATGGAGAGCTGCCGAGGCACTGCGAGAGCGCGGGAGGCGGTTCGGTCCGCAGAAGAGGGGCCTTTTTCACGGATCCCCCCCCTCTGGAGGTGGAAACACTGCACACGGCACTTGGGGCCACTTTTTTTTTGTTTTTTTGCAAGAAAAAGGCTAAGCGAGAGCGCTTTGAGGAGCGGATATCCGTCGGCAGCACGCTACTGAGAACGTATACGTCAGCCAGGGAGCTGGATAGGGAGTGCTTTGGTGTCTCGGTGTCCTTCATACCATGAATTCATTACTGCCGTACAATACCAGCGGCTGGGGCATGTCGGGAGGGTCCCTGCGGTGGCCAGTGCCGTCTCTGGAGTGCCTCAGGGTCGAATGCTTGGCCCCCTTAAGTTTCTGTTTGCCCTTTTCCGGGTTGAAGGTGCCTCTGCTTGTAAACTGGGGCCTTTCATCATTCGCTCCCTCCTGATCCGCTGTGTTGTCGGCTCGGGAGGCTTGAGACGCACTCGCCGGCTGCGCCTGGGCCAGGCTGGAGGGAGGAGACTTGGAGGGGAAATGAAAACGGCGGGCGCTGGCAGAGGGGGAAGAGGACGACGGCTGAAAGTGGGATGAGGAAGAGTAGGACGAAACGCTCGAGCAGGAGTCCACGGAGTCCAGGGAGTCAGGCTGCCGGCGGACAGTTCGGCGTCGGGGGCTCGTCATGTCGGACCTCGTCGTGTCGGACCTCGTCATGTCGGACTTCCGGGGCCAGGGGGAAGTCATCACTGGACCTCTCTCTGCAATGGAAGGCAAAAGGAAAGGTTGGCTTTTTATCCTCCCTCTCAGGTTACACACTAAACAAAAAAAACGGGCAATTTCCTGCGTGGAGACACACCAGAGAAGTCGGAAATGGTTCCCTCAGAGTCCACATTGAGGTTCTCAGAGCTGTCGGCTGTACCGATAGAAGCCTCCGACTCAAGGGTCTCATCGTCCGATGCGCGTGGCTCCAGAGCCAATATCTCATAAGTCAACTCCTCTCTGCGGGGAAACATTATCTCGATGAACCAAAGAGCTGCACATACACGTTGCTAAAATTACAAAAACGTAATGTTGTCTGTGTACATTCAGTTCTCCAAAACAGTCAAACTGTTCACGCATCAAGTATCACAAAGGTGCAGTCGCAGTGTTTACTTCTCTTTCTGCAGGCTTTCAATTTGCTCCGTCAGCACTCTCTCCTCCTGCCGCATGGCCGCCTGCTGATGCTCCGAGATTTCGGCAAACGAGTCGTCTCCTTCACTGCCGCTCTTCTCGATCAGCGGCTCGGCCACAGACGGGAGCCGCGGACTGACCGGAGGCGACGGCGTGTGGTAGCTCGCTCGCGGCACGCGGCCTCTTCCCTGAGAATCGAGTCAAGAGGCCGATGTTTTTATTCTCACCTGGTGAATACTACTTTACACTCCATTAAAGAAAACAAAAAAAAGCTCAACGAAAGAGGTTATTGTGCATCACATTTCACGCCGCGCACAAACAAACATGAAACGACCGACAGCACACGCAGCACTGATCCAACACAAATGATGAGACACAACGAGACACGAAGCGTACCTTTTTAGCCGCATGTGTCTGCTTTGAGCAAGTGAAAAGCAGAAAAGAAGGAGGAGGAATCAGTTTATATAAAGGTTGTGCAGCGCGGCAGATGATGATCACCCCTTTCTCAGTGAAGCTAGTGACAATAACAGTACTGTTATATAATGCAGATTTCATGTTTCACTGTCCTTTTTTGTCGCTCTACACTCCCCGCACTTATTTCAAATTAAAAACTTTTAATCAACTAAATAAATGTCTTCAGGTAATAAAAAAATTCAAATTGTCGCACCTGACGTGATTTGTCACCTCCTAGTTTTTGAGATGGTGACAATGTAGCTCACACTACATCATCGGTCTTTCCTATTTTCACTTTCTCGAGTGTGACTTAAATAACAGCGATTTAGGGAATACTATCAGCTGTTTACTCCATATCCCAAGTAGCATAAGGCAATGCAATGAGCAGCATCTCGTGGCTTTCATCCACAGGAGAGAAACGGAAGCAGGGGACTGAATGAAGCGATGAGTCATGCTTTGGGGATGGAGAAGGCAGATCCGAATGTTTTGAGGGACTATGCAGAGGTCGGGCACCACAACAGCATCACCACCGGATGATAGTTTGGGGATGTAATCCACGGCGTGTGCGTGTATACATACCATAGTGCTCATAAATCTAACAGCTATTAGTACGGGTTTCTGGGTAAAGGAAAGGACAGGTTAGGGGAGACAATCTGGAGGAGAAAAACGGCCTACAAAGGCAAACAAATCATGGAAGGAGTTTTTAGGGTGTGAATCATTGCAAACAGCGGATTCTTCTGATAAAAGTGTACATTTCATCTCATTGGATCTTACCATCGACCGTCGAATGATGGTCAGTCTGAGCTTGGCCTTATTCTCTGCAAATTCCAGGCTGTTGATGTCTTTTAGTCGGATTTTGTACTTATTCATCTGTTCACAAATGATAAGTTCTACGCACCTAAAGAGGGAAACAAAACCCCTTCAGAAGGACTGGAAATGCTTAACAACGTCACAGTAAAACACATGCTGGTATTGAATATTAGTCATAAGTACAAAGTGAATCTCACATTTTTAAATTAATTTATTTCTCAACTTTTAATAATGAAATCGGCAGCAAAAACGGCCCTATTAAATTATTAAATTTGAATTAAATGAATATAATTTTTGTCTTATATCTTATATTCCGCTGACTGATCTCGATTGGCCCGCATACAGTTTTGTCAGTTGCTCCCTTCCATGAAACGGACTTATTTAAGATCCACGTCGGCTCTCACGCCAGGCAGAGAATGCATCAGATGTACATGAAGTGTGTGTCCTTACGCGGTCGTCTTGCCGATGTCTTGGACGCTCTGCATTGGATCGATGGTGTCGGGGCAGCGCAGGATGCAGGGGGCAAACACGATCGCCAAGGCGTTGGCCGACATGCGGTTCGTGTCCTCTTGTAAGGCGATCCTGAAAAGCATCATTTCAGCGTTAGGTGATTCGACCGGTTGGGAGATCAATCTCAGCGTGAGATTAGCGTACTGGCCGGTTCCTACCTGACGAGATGAAATATGAGACGCTCGAGAGTGTTCAGGTGGGTTCTGCTTAGCTGGTCGACGACTGAATACACTCCTCTGACCGTCTCCTTTTTATCCCGCAACGCTGGGGAGGCAAATCACACGGCAGCGAAGGCGTGAACGTCAAACGTGATGCCCGTTAAACCCGAAACACAGAGCGCGTCCCTTACCCATGGCACGTATGAACTCCTCGTACAGCTCAAAGGTCATCAGAGGGTTAGGCAGGTCCCTCAGCCACTGCTTGAAGACGCTGGCGATGACGTGGATGTTGTAGTCGTCCAGGTTCATGCTGTCGACGTCTGTGTGGTCACAAGGAGAGTCGGCTGAGTTCTAAGCACCGTTTTTACGAGCGGCCGCCGCTTGTTCGACGCGTCTCTCCCGCTTCCTTCACCTGTGTCGAGTCCCTGCTTGAGTTCCTTGATTTTGTTGGTGGAGCCGGGTTTCCTGTAGATGCCCTCGGTGTAGAGTCCGTGCATCTCGATGTAGTTGATGAGCTTCTCCACCACCAGGGGCACCGTCCTCTCGTCGTTGGTCAGACGGGAAACCTCCACTCCGAACTGTCTGGAGGAAAGCTCTGGATCAAACTGGCGAGAGACAACAGACACACTCGGTTCAACACAAAAACAAAAATCGCACACGATATCGTGAAATGCTTTTAAGAACCGTGAACGTGTTTAAAGCGCTCACGTCAGCGTATTAGGTTGCAGTACTTACGCCACCTACTTTAATTAAACCCACGGAAAAAACAATCAGTGTCTTGGGACACCGCTGTGCACAATATGGCCGACTCACCTTCTTGCTGCATTTGTTGGTCGTCTTCTGGCAGCACTTTCTGTGGCAGGCGAAGCGGCACACTGGACACACACAACCAGAGGAATCAAACGCGTCATTCTCTCGCCTCCTCATCATTCAGCAAAAGTCAGTACAAGCAAAAATGACGTTGGCGTATTATCACTCGCGAGGCCGACGCGCTGCCGGTCAGCAAGAGGAAAACATCCTGTGGGAATAAAGGACAAACTGTGTGGGGAGTATACGGCGCCCCAGACCCCATGAGTCCAGTTGAAAACAATCCGATTAAGGCTGAGGAGGCAAAAGGGGCGGAGCCAGACTGAGACTCAGACATGGTGAGTGTGTGTGTGTGTGTGTGTGTGTGTGTGTGTGTGTGTGTGTGTTAAGATACGTGTATTCTTTTGGTAGTTAGAACTGAAAAGTGGTAAAAAATAAATTAAGATACAATGCAATTATGAGCTTAATGATGAAAATATGACATCAAAGAATAAAGACTTTATTAAAGTAACCAAACAAAGTTCAACCAATTTGATCAATTTTCCGTCCTGCTCAAAACAGGATTACTTTGTTGTTTTTTTTAGTTCAGGTCCACCCGGTTCTTCATCAGTTGAGTCATCTGTGATGACGACGGGGTTCGTCAAACTTTCCTCCCCTCGGTTCAACAACTTCGTTCACCTCGTTCTTTACAGCAGATTCCTGTGGTCACGTGACTGTGACAGTGATTTATACACGTGACCTTCACGGTGTGACTCCTCGGCTGATTCACGGTCTCTGTAGAGCTTTCATCGCTCAGTTTTACAGTGTTACTTACGGTCGTGTCAAGTAGAGAAATGTGACATTTCTTTCGTTTGTTGCATCAAACTAAATACTATTCACAGTGTTTTTTTTCTCAATGTTTGAGAATGTTCATGAACGTAAATTATCTTTATCACCAATTAATCTTTTCATGACTTAGCTAATAGAAGACAGCGTAAATATTTTAAAAAGCTGTAAATGAGCTGGAAACAGCAAATATTGGGGAATTTCTGTCGTGACTTTGCTTTATTTTAACCTTCAAAGCCATCAGTGGCTTTCAAAACAAGCTAATATCTCAGATCCACCGTTGGAAAATCCTGTCTGCTAAATCCCCTTTGTGATATATTAAATGCACACTCACATTTGCACACGCACGCACGGTCCATCATCCAGATGAGCGAGGAGCAGTATTCACAGTACGTGGGGATGCTGTACTGGGTGGACTTGAAGATGTGGCCGTTATGCTCCTCCACCTGCAGAGGGCAGCAGAGCACAGCTTCAGCTGCAGCGCCGGCGCATATTTTATTCACATTTTCTTAAGGTACCTTTTTCTATTCTGGTGGTCCGTGTATTTATATCTTGTTATTCCAAAACAGCAAATGATGGTGTTAAAGCTTTTAAAGTTTAGTCTTTATTCTGTCAGTGATCAATATCGAGTCCTAATTAACGGCGAGGATGAAGAGAGACTTACAATGTCTGGGTCCTTTTTCCTCCGTTTTTTGCGTTCAGGCTTAGGTACCTGCTGTGGAAAAAAAAACAGATATATGTTTAAACCTTTCTTTAGTGTCTTCACTGTGTATAAATGTATTATTAGGACATTTAAATCACATATTTTATAAGGACAACATCTTTAGAAAATAAACAATTTAGCTTTCAGGTTGAAAAAGTAAAAAAATGTAATTTAATTTAAAACACATTCAACTCCCTTTTTTGGAAACGCAACAATTAACACATGTGTATTTTTTTAAATCCATAGAGAATATAAAATAAAAGGAGCACAAATCCTCCTCTGCGTGTGCAGGCCGTGTGTCTCTACCTTGCTGGGTGTGCTGTCCAGAGGTTTGTACTCGGTCATGAACTCGTCCAGGAAAACCTTAAAGGTGTTGACCCACACGGTGACAGGAGACTCCCTCCAGTTCCTCTGCTCCTGTCGCATGGTCTTCTCCAAGATGTCCTCAAACAGAGCGTGGAGGTCTTTGTAGCGGATGCTCTTACCATCATCCATCTGGGCAGGAAGATGACGATTACTACCAGTAATAACACTATGACTCAAATGTTTATAGAGGATTGTAAATGTACTTACAATACATTATAATATGCTTATATCGATGGATAACTTTAAGGCCTTCAACCAGATCCTCAAAATGATGCATCATGGTTATTGTTATAGCCATTATGCATTAAAAAGCACTAAGTTCAAGCATCATAAAATATTAATAATCATTATGTTTTTTTGACACAATTCGTCTGCAAGGATTGAGATACCTCTTAAATTCCTACAATTGTATTCATTTTTTCATGATGCAATACAATCCTTGTTAAGTGGTCATTGGGAACTTTAAGTACAGTAAAATAAATATAATTAAATGTATACAAGCATAAGTATTTGTTGTGCTTTAGTATCTTATATCAACTTAAAATAACTTCTAATAACGTGATACATTCTTACAGAGATTGTAATGCAAATATAAGAACCTCAATCATCCAACTGCATGTTAAAAATGCATCAAAGACACGTAAACATGGTGACAGCACTTACAGCGAGCGCTGTGGAGTAAGAGTTGAAGATGTTCAGACGAAATTCCCTCAGGGCCTTTTTAAAGACGACGTCCACCATGGTGTCCTTCTTGCTGTCCTCGTTGTCCAGGTCGTTGATCTGCGATACAAAGGCGAGCGCCGTGATCAATGAAAACACACGCATGGGCTCCATCTCTCGGTCAGGACTTTGAGCTGTTGACCGTCTTTCCGGTACCTTCTTCATGAGGAAGTCGTTCATGCTCCGGTAGTCGTTGGTGCAGGTGAGGATCTGCAGCGCGTCGTTCTGCCACTGGGCGGGCTCCAGGCCGGCGCTGCTGATCTTCACGCTGCGCCGCCGCTTCACCTTGGGAGACGGCTCCTTGTTCTCCTTCAGGTCTCTGAAGCCGCGATCGGGCATCGAGCCGGGGCTGCAGGGGGGCGACGTGTTCTCCTGACCTGCGGTGTGGGAAGGAGGAGGGGTTTGTGCGCGTGAGTGACATGAACTTCAGGAGCATTCAGAGACGGTTCTGTGGCGTTTGCTTCAGGGGAACGCACCGTCTCCCAGCAGCGGCCCGGTTTCCCCGTAGTCTCCGTCCGGGGAATCGGCCCCGCAGATCAGCTTCTCTCTGGAGGTCTTCTTCTCCCCATACTTTGGCTTGGTCCAGAAACGAAGCCTACGAGCCCTGGCCAAACTTAAAAGGAAAAAATTGAGATGAAAGATTAAAAAGCTTAAAGTCACAACGACAAACTGGGAGGATTAAAGTAAATAATTCATATAATGGCATTTTACAACAAGCTAAAAGTTCCTCACAGCTCCTCACTTTAACAATTCATATTGAAGCCACAACATAAAAGGAAACACTTTTAGGCAAAACTGTGAGTGGCAGCAGTGCAGAGTTGAGGAACAAACCTTCCATCGTGAGAGTTTTTGCGCATGGAGTCCACTTTGACCAAATCTCCTGACGACATGGCTTTGTGGATCTTCTGTTGCTCCTCAGAGGTTGTATCCTGAAATTAATTATGTAGACATTACGACCTGAAGCCAAGTTCAAGCCATCACAAACCTGGAGCCTCGTAATGCTGACATTATAAAGCTAAAACGCAACAAATAACACATTTACATACAAGACAAATTCCTAGGAAAAGAGCAGTTAAAAGGCAGAAGGATTGCGTTAAAAAGATGTAGACCATCGAGAGTGAATGGTGACCTTTCCCAAGGATTCCAGAGGTCTGACTGGTGTCTAGTGCTAAGAGAGGAAACACAACCAAGTGACGTGCAAACATGGTTAACAACCAGGGTGAGGAGAAGTTGCCGTTGCAGCTGAAAGAGAAACCAACGGTGTTAGAAAAGAAACTGAGCTAACGGGTTAGTATTGAAGGGGGAACATTTGAAAGGCACTCGGATGGAAAGTGTGCTGAAGCTCAGATCGAGTCGGTGGTGCAGACCCATGCTGTCTCTCCGTGGGGGGGTTAGAAATGTCAAAGAGAAGCCGCGCCTTAAGGGCGCACGGGGAGGGGGTGGGGGGGAGGCCACCGGTGGCTTGGATGGCGCCCGTTACCATTTCAGAGTCACTGAAACAGGACTTCATTAAGCCCGCGTCGGCGGCGCTCGGTTTGGGGAAGGCCAGACTGCTGTGGCGGGGGACGCCGTCGTCTTCGTAGTCAGCCTCGTCCGAGTCGCCCCCAACCGAGAGGGAGGGGGCGCGGGTGAGGAAGTCGGAGCGGGTTCGTGCCATTCTGACTTTCTTTTTTTGGCCCGCTCTGCCAACCTGGAGTTTCATCAGAAGTTACAACAGCGCGTTTTTAAAAAAAGGACTGCAAAAGAGCCGCAGTGCACAATTGGTCTTTATGTAGGTCGGCTGTGGCGTTTTTAAGGTGTGAGATTTGGGGCCGAAAAAGAATAATTATTTAATTCACGACACGACATGCTTTGCTCTGCAGAAGGGAAGAGGAGCTTGCTTACGTCCCGTGTTTTCGCCCCTTTACAGGGCTTGGAGACGGGGGGCGGAGCTTCTCTGGGAATGGCTGCAGGCGTTAGTTTGGAGGCCGCTTCACTGTCGAACCTGCTGAGAAAACAAACGTAAATGCATAATGTCGAAAAATGGAAAGCAATGGATCCAAATAGATCATTTATAAAGTCAAAAGAGCAAGAATGTCAATAAAAATGTACTTAATACAAACTACTTGATTACAGAAAAATATGCAAATCTGTTACTTTTAAGTAAATCATCATCAAGTGTCTGCAACAACGTATCAAGTAAGAAGCGTTCGTATCACGCACTTAGTACTCTAGATGGGACGTGAATATTTCACATTACTGATTCATTCTAGTTATCCATCTACTTTATATTAAATAAAAACTTTTTTGACCCATTGAACTTATTTTTGTGGATTTTTATAGTGGTGCATTGGGTCATTTGTATAGTTTTAGTAAAGTTTTCCTCCAGATACATTAAACACTTTTGAGATTTGTTTTCATATTTTGTATTTAGCCTATTTATGGATCTAAACTTTACAATTTAAAATAATTTATTTTTATGCACCTAAAAAATAAAACCCCTGTGATTAAAAGCCTGGTTCTTATAAATAAACTAAAAAACATAACTACATAACAACAAAAACCCATTAAGCAGGCAAAATAACTCAAATGTAATAATAAATATAAGTTTATGCGTCAGTTACTCACTTTGTAAACGTCACTTTGTCCGTTGGAGAGAAGAAGATTTTGCCTTTTTCCTTCAAACCAACTGTTGGCCCTTGATCACTTGGCGTCTTCCTCGCCGCCGCTCTCGCTCTGATCCCGCCCCTTTCTTTGGACTGCAGCGTGAGTTTTGGCGCCCAGCCTTCGGCAGCGGGCCCGCTCCCTTTGCGTCGCTCCCTGGGAACAGAGGCGGGGGGCGGGGGCAGCTGCGGCTGCGTCTCGCCGGGGCGAGAGCGCGCCGGCGGGACGGTGGACTCCGAATGCGTCCTCGGGTGAGGCGCGAGCCCCGCCGCCCTCTCGATCAGCAGCGAGCTGGGCCTGCGGCGCTCTCCGGGGCTCCCGACGTCCTCGCCGGCGCGGCGGCGGCTCTGCTGTATCTTCTGCAGCGCTTCCTCTCGCTTTTTCTCGAACAGGTCCCTCTCGCTCTGAGCTAAGAAGAGACGCTGTTGCTCCAGCGCTTCTTTCTGCTCTCTGATCTTCTCCATCATCTCCTTCTCGTTCTGCTGCTGCAGGTTACGCTGCCTCGCCTCCTTCTCCTCGTTCAGTCGCACCAGCTTCTCGATGAGAAACTGGTCGGTCTGAGGGACGGAGGTGGGGACGGGAGCAGGGTGGTGTCTCCACCCCTTCTGAGCCCCCGGGTCTACGGGCGGAGGCGTGAGACCCCTCAGCTCTGGGCTCATCGGCGATTCTTTCTGCATGCTGATGATCACCACCACCGGTTGCCGCGGTGACTCCCGCCTCTCTTTGACAAGCTCGGGGACGTCGGCGGGGTCTCTGGAGGCGGCTGCCTCCGTGTTCCGTTCGGGCTCTCCAGCGGGACGAGGGGAGACGGCCGCGCCGCCCTGACCAGCGGGGACGTAAAAGGTGGGGAGGTGGTTCTCGATCCTGGTTCTCGAGGCGGCCGTGGGATCCCGCCGCCGGCCTCGCTCGGCCAGCGCGTCCGTGCCGCGTGGGCTCGACGGGGCCTCCTCCGCACCGGGCTCAGGTACCGGAGCTGCCGAAGCGACGGGGGAGCAGAGGTCCTCGCTGTCGGTCACCTCCTCCACGGCCCGGGGCGCCTCGTCGTCCATGCTGAGCAGCTCGAAGCTGCCCTTGGAGCTCTGGCTGTCGGGCGTTCCCTGCGGCGAACGGGGAGGCGGCGTCGCCGGCGCAACCAGCTCCACGGACCAGCGGCGCTCCTCCGACGGGGAGGACGCTCCGCCGCCGGTCGCCCGGACCTTGAGGAGCTCCAGGCTGAACTTGGCGTGCTCCAACTCCCTCATCCGCCGACTCTCCCTCTTGGCCCGAGTGGTTTTCTGGCTGGGCTCCTCTAAAGTTCTGGGCCTCTCTCGCACCACCACCGTAGACGTCTGGATGGGGTCCGATGACTCGCCTGGGGGACCCTCTCCTGCCCCAGCGTCCTCCCCTCCTCCTTCCTCATCAACGGCGCCCTCGTGGCTGCTCGGGATCTGGAGGCTCCGTTCTCGCTGCTCGTCGGAGCGATCCTCCCACGTGCTGAGGTCCAACCCCATCACCCTCTCCGTCGGCTCCTCTTCCGGCGACGGACGCAGCCGGCCATTCTGCCGAGCAAGCAGCGTCTCCTGCCGCTCCGTCTCCTCCCGCAGCCGCTGTTCTCTCAGTTGCTCGAAGCTGCCAATCAAGAAGCCGTGGTTACAACTTGAGCTGATGTCAAACTAGTTCCTACTGCTACCATCGAGAGTATTGACCAAAGTTAAAAAAAAGTCTGGCGCTGAACAATGACCGAACACGCGACAGCAGGAGCCGCCTCAAAAGATGAATATGGCCTTTCACCAGCTACACTTGGAGGCTATTTCCACAGTGCTTAAGCTTTAAAAAACACTGTTTGCTTGTGATGAACTGAATGGTGCTCGGGAACAGTGTGGCTCACCTCCGCCTGGCCAGGAAGCCTCTGCCGGTCGCCTGTAGTTGCGTCACGGCGGCGTACAGACGCAGGTAGGCGTCTCTGGCTTGATGACAGCGCCAGGCCGTCTGGATGACCGTGGCCGCCGTGCCGCGGCGGCAGAGCCATGACCTCCACGCCCGCTGCAGCACCAGGGCGGCCTCCCTCCACAGCCGGAGCCTGTGACGCTCCCTGAACCCCCGCCAGTGCGTCTGCAGACACAATGCCGCCCCCTCCTGGACGCCAGGGCCATAATCCTCTGTGGGCCGGCACAAACGCCACCACTTCTGCGAGGAGAAGATGATGAAGTATTAGTTTTAATAATAGTCAAAAGTTATATTCACGTATGCATCTTTATGCATTCGCATTTTTCTGGACTTTAAAAACTTTGATTTGAAAAAAAAAGTTGATTTGATCGGAAATTGAGTAGGACGTTCACGCAGATTTCAAATTAAACTTAAATTAATTTCCAGTAGAAATAAAATAGGAATTAAAATAAAATGCCAGAAGACACCTTTTGGTAATCAAATATCACATTTAGTGCGGCATTGAGGTAGGATTGAACAACATTATTACCAATATCTTTCTGATAAGTATTGCATAATCATAATAAAATGATAATTGACGCAATGAACCTTTAAACTTTAAAACGCGTGGGCCGTACCTGGATGCAGGTCGCTGCTTCTCTCATTCTCACAAACTGCTTCCTCTCCAGCAGCGCTCTGAACCGCCGCTGCAGCGCAACGATGCGTCTGAGCACCTCGGCGTGGAGGACGGCCTGGAGCCGCTGGCGCTCAGCCTCCCGGAGGAACACCTGAGGGGAGGGACCACGATGGAGTCAGTGCAGGGCAACGCGCGCACACACACACACACACACACACACGCGTGCACACACACACGCACGCACACTTAATGAAGAAGGCGTTGTTAATGAGATGCACCAACTTACTACTCACACACAAAGCTCAGAGACCTCTGGCCAGATACACGGCCACAACTATGTCAGGTATGAACCTCTAATTATATAGACAGCATCCCAGAGACGAGGACCCCCTCCCGACCCCCCACATCATCATGACTCATTCCTACCAACGGAGACCAAGTCTGGGGCACTGGCCTCATTACGTCCTTTTATTCCCGAGGGAGGAAGCTTCAGGTAATATGAGTTTCTCCTCAACACCAAGCCTTCCCCAAGTCTTAGAGCCTATTTATAGTTCCATTGAGAGGCAGCGGTTTAATGAACCTGCACAATATGAACCCCACATTATCTTTAGTAAATCATTTTCGGGTCGTGGACCGACATTTTCTGGATTCCTAACTGCCTCAACGTGCAATTTAACATGACATAGAACTAATAATACCATCCAGTATAATGAGCCTAAACATTTTCTTTTCAGCACTGAAGAGCTCGACTTTTACAATTTACAAAGTGAATTTATTTAACACAACGCACCCTGTACACATACATACATATAATATATATCTATATAAATATGTACACAAACACATATACCTATAATATTTGTACAATGGATATGTTTAGATATATATATCGATAGCATATTAACAGCACATGCCGCTTCACGCTGAGCTGTATTTGTTTGTGCGTGGAGGAAGCAGGGCGGAGAGTAAATACCATCGTCTTTCCCACTTGGTACCCATCTGCTTGGAGGTCCAGCTGGTCCAGGCTCTGCTGGATGCCGTCTCTGGTGGCCCTGGCGCGCTCCGGGAGCAACACACTGAAGTGATGGATAAAATCCTATCAGGAAGACACGATGGACAGGTGTTAATGAGAAGCGTGCGTGTTATCCTTCAGTGTCCTGAGTGTGTTTCCACATTTCATGGATTGTGGTTCCACGAGCAGAAAGATAAAGAGTCACAAGCTGCAACATCGAATGGAAAGCAAACAAGCAGCTACACTTAAAAAATTTAAAAAAATCTTTCTTGCTGCTACACCAGAAAGTAGAAATATATATATATCTATAAAACAATATTTCTGTTAGATTTGATTAATATTTATGAAAACATACTACTGCTACTACTACTACTACCACCACACTGCATTTACTTAGTGTTGAAATATCATGATATTATGTCTATATATAAATAAGTGAAGTTCAAACAGGCTGAAAAGAGCAAATACCGGTTTCTGTTCTCAGTCTAAGGGCCCAGGAAAACTATAACAATATATCTTTAACAATGTAACAATATAACAATGTAACTTTAAGATATGAAATGTGTCTAATATGAAGAACAGAGCAGGCCAACATTGTGTAATGTTTGTTTCTGTGCCAAGAGGTTAAAAGTAATAATAATAATAATAACAACAATATCAGGTAATTATAGATCTAGTGTTTAAACTAGTATGTGTAATATATGGATGATAGATTGAAATGTATTAGAAATATACTCCAGCTATATTCTAGTTCCTTTTTTAGATGATACAGCTTTGGCATATTTCTAATAAATGGCCAAGATTTTACCATCTGTGCTGAAGTTTCTCCCCCCAGCGGGACAGGACAATTCGGGAGGGGCTGAAAGTGAAATAAAAAACTCCGGCGAGGCCCATGTGGTTTCAGCTAGAAGTCCATATTTGCAGGGGTTTGAACATCATGACATAAATATGCTGAACTCCCACTCTTCAGACTGAGCCCCATTGTCTGAATTCAATACACTCGGGGCTGCAGGGGGGCGGGGAGGGAAACAGATGCTGTGTTTATACAATTACAAGCATGGGGAGTGCTTCAGAGAGCCAAGCACAATGGAGAGGCTCTGTCCCGAAGAGGCTGGAAGCAGCAGACTCCTCCACAGTGATACCATACCCGAGATATTTGTCATTAGTGCTGACCGCAGCACTAAATGTGTTTGGGGTGGGTGTGGGGGGGGGGGTGGGGGGGAAGACCGTTTGGGGTGAGTTGGACCGTGGAGCGAAAGTGGAGCAGTCCAACGAGTGGCCAGGTGACCTCATGAAGATCATTTAAAGAACGTAAAGTGTGTAGAGTGTGCAAAGCCGTCATCAGGGCAAAGGTAGGCTAAAATATAAAGTTATTCATTGAGCTTTTTTTGAATCCACATAAACCTTCATGTTACTTCACAGTTTTGACGTCTTCCGTATTAATCTAGAATGTAGAAATAAAGAAAATCCATTGAATGAGAAGGCGTGTCCACGCTTAAAAACGTGATCTGCACAAATGACACAAAATGGGCATTCAGGAACCACGGAATGGAAACTAATGGAAGAGATGTGAGCCACTCCCAAGCGCCCTCCGTCCAAAGACTCGCTTCCAGTCTGCATTAAAACTGGATCGCCGTCATTAGTCATGCGGCTCTTTCTCGCAGGGGATGACATCATCGCGAGGGGAGCCAATGTGGTTAAGACACCTCGCCTTGCCGCCTAACTGAATTACTGCGCGCACTGCATTCGTTTTAAAATGATTTGTTTTCCTGGTGCGTGTTACCTTGAAGCTGTACTTGATGTTGTAGCCCGACAGTCGGATGCGCACCGTCTCCAGCATGCCGGTGTAGCGCAGCTGCCTCAGCACCAGGTCGTCATTGAACCTTAAGGGCAGCTGAGAGAGAGAGAGAGAGAGAGAGAGGGGAAACGGGGAAAAGGACACATGGCAGAGGTCACGGAGGGGAGGGAAATGTTCAAACTCTAACAAAAGGAAACGAAAAATGCTTGGTGAACAGCAGTCCGGAGCGAGCACGCGGTACCTTGTCAGCGTTGGAACGGATGCACTTGACGAAATAGGGCTCGGACTGACCCAGAGTCTCCATCAGCTTATTGAGGGAGGCCTGGGGGAGAGACGAGAGACCGAGCGGACGTTAGATTCGACGCAAAGAGGAGCGCTCTGCTTGCGTGGCTCCGTCGTGGTTTCGGTTTTCGCAGGCAGAAGTCAAAATCAGACGTGAATAACTGCTCGGAACATCCAGTAAATCTCTTGGCTGCAACATTCAAGTCGCTGCCCGGGATCATAAATACGAGAAATATGTCCATGTAAGCATGTGGTTCTGCAGGAGAGAAAAAAAAGCAATCATTGCGTGTGTGTGTGCATAAACAAATGCACATGTATGTCAGCAGCGTGTGTGATGATTCAGTGGAAGGCAGGAGGTATTCAGTCTGCTCCTCCTCCTCCTCCTCTTCCTCATCCTCCATGGGAGATTAAAGCAATCAGCGGAGCACAGGATGTGGGAAGTGAAGTCATCCACACACACACACACGGAGGCCAGAGGGGCCGCGGAACTCAGTCAGAGCAGAAGGAAAGTAACGTGGGGGTTTTCTATGCTATTCCGAATGCTAAATGTAGAGGCCAGTTATATCAATGTATTTCAGGTCCAGAGGAAGACAATAGTCTTCTGTAAAACGCTAAAAACAGAGTCAAACTGACTTTGAACGGGCCTTTTTACTTTATTCTTGGGTCTCATCTGCCACTAGGAGAACATGAGGGAAACGTGCAGTACAAAAGGAAAACATTATACTTTGTCACCAACATTTTTTTTCATGAAACATTTACTTTTTTGGTCTTAAATTCCCAGACATGATGTCAGACACTTAAACCCTGTGTGTGTGTGTGTGTGTGTGTGTGTGTGTGGGTGAGACAGGCGCAGAGACGGAGGGTAATCTGTGAAAGCACCCACTTTGTTTTTAGCGTATTCACAGCTGGAGGGAGATTCTCGGGCTGATCTCATTGCTTTGAGAGCAGCGAACGGCGCCGTACTGCTGTGTGTGTGTGTGTGTGTGCGTGTGTGCGTCTGACCTGGAACTGGGCGCTGATACTGGGCGGTTTCTTCTTCTTGTGCAGGTGAAGCAGCGACTTGGTGATGCGGTCGTGAAGCGTCAGGTTGCTGAGGTACTTCAGGGACTTGACGTTCAGTAGATGCTGCGGGTGAGAGGTCAGAGTCAGCGGATAGCGTAACGCCACGTGGAAAACTCATGGAGGCGAATTAAAGACGTCCCCGACCGTACCTTCGGAAGAACGGGCTTAGATTTGTAGGTTTTGTTCCTCCTGGTTGTGAAAAATGAAGAGAACAGCAGGTGAATATACGTCTTTTTGTTTTGGAAATCCGGTGAGAAAGATACTTTGAAGTAAAAGGGTCAACAAAGCGCTGAATTAAAATTGCAAAAGAAATTCTTCCCAAGCGGCTCATACTGCGGCCAATAAAAGTGGGACTACGTTCTCCCCTCCGGAGGGAGGTCGGAGGTCGGGGTCGGCCGCAGTGAGCAGCTGGTGGGAATGCGGCTGCGATCACTGCGGGAGACAAGGCGGCGCAGATGTTTCCTGACACCGAGGCCGACCTGTGCTCGCTCAGTTTGGCGGACGCCTCGGGGGCCTCGACGTACGCGGCGCTGACCAGCAGAGTCACGCGGCGCTGCGTTTCGGTGACAGAAGCTCAAAGAGAAACAGGAGGAGATAGAACTGACATCAGGATGTCGTGGGCCCGCTCCAGGAGTTTGCTGCTGGCAGAGTTGACGAAGATGCCGTCTTCCTCCGCCGGCGAGCGGCTCCTCCGGCCCGGGCGCCCGTTCCAGCCGAGGCTCGGAGAACTCCTTCGGGGCAATAACACGAAACCTTACTTGAGTTTAGGAGTTACAAGATACTTTCTCATGAATACATGTTGTAATCGTAATGAATAAATACAATGAAGTTAATGTAAAGTTTTATTTTAGTGGAAATCAATCTGACAATTTCCAATATTCCTCCTCCCTTTATTTTTTTTAAATTCGGCAGAGAATCCAGTGCTACTATGGAGTTCATTCTTTAAATCTCTTTTTGGTGAGGGGCAAAGATATGAAGCACATGGCCAACAGGTGGTGAACATTGAGTCAGTTTACAGGTATTGATCGAATCTGAGAGCCACACCTCCTCGCGACTTTTCCACACGTCACTCAAGCAAATAACAAACTGGGATGTTCCACCTCAAACCTCAAACCCTCTTCTCCCATACGATGTAGCTTTTGGTACGGGAGAGGCTGGACTTCGCACCTCGCACATGATCTAAACCTCAGACCTCGAGGTGGAACCCTAACCAAGCTGCCCAGAAGACAAGCGGTTAAAACCATCCACCGGTCTGAGCCGGTGCAGCCCGGAGGAGAGGACGAGGGAGGAGGAGGAGGATGCTGGAGAAGCAGTGACCTCCTACATCACCGAATACACGCCGTTTATCAGCCGCTCTTTGGTTTTTACGTTTACTAGAATCTCTCCTGCGGAGTCAGAAGCCGCGCGCACACTGTGGCGCACGGAGAGGTTTGGTAGCTCGTACTGCGTTATTAGCGGGAGGTTGAGTCATTTCCTGCAGGGGAGGAAAAAAAAAGCAGGTGGGAAACCAGCAAGCGGGGCGGCATTCAAACGCACGATGAAAATGAAAGTTAAACCAAACACAGAGTGTGCGGAGCTCCATGTGCGGGCGCAGCCGGTTGGGTTGAACGTGATGTTGGTTTACCTTATCTAAGACGGAAAATACAGATGTGTGAAAAACGTTTAAGCTAAAAAGAGAGCAGATCTACAAAGCTCCAGTGTGTTTGTGTAAATGAAAGCCTTTGGATGTGTATTTACCTTTGGGTTTATATCTCGTGTATAAGAGGCTTTATTGAGAATGAAATAACGTTTCACACCACAACGTGCTGCAGGAGCAACCAGCAGGAATCCTCCGTTAGCATCTGGCCTATAAAGCAGACCAGAGACAGAGCGAATGTCTCCCCAGTGGACCATTGATCTGCAACGCGCTGTTCGTCCCCCCCCCCCCCGAAGCCCCTCTGAGGGCCGGCAGCGCTCCGTCCGGCAGACGAGCGGCCTGCGGGGACCCGCTGCTCATCATCGCTCCGCGGGCACGCCGCTCCCACTGCACAGCTGCAGCTTTACATCACCGAGGAAGCGGCTGCACGCGGCTCAGAGGCCGCTAGTGGACGAGTGCGTAATTGAGACCGAGAGAGAGAGAGAGAGAGAGAGAAGAGAGAGGGGGGGGAGGCCCAGAAGGTTGCTAAATCACATTAAGTGTGTGTGGGGGGGGGGGGTTAAAGGCTCCGGACTGAGCTCCTGTGTAACAAAAGCCGTCCTGTACGCGCCGCTCTGCGCCACCAGTCGCTATCGTGGGCCACTAATCTCACAGCTAATTAGAGGAGGTGGGGGTGGGGGGGGGCAGCGCTCAGGGTCACAGCACTTACTCGTATTGTTTTGTGGGGAACGTTTTTGCTTGGTTGTTGAGAATAGAACGAATATTTTTTGTGCCATTTCAAAGGGTCTCTTTGACGCACGCGCGTGTGATGACACGCTAAGAGACGCCCTGCAGGCCACGAGGTGAAGGCTTCCACACATGAACCACAACACCCGCCGGTCCAACTGAGGACCTTTGCTGCAGGTCGTTTCCCCCGGCCCCCCGTTTCCTCTTTTCACAGTTGATGAATAAGGGAATAAAATGGTGGAAAGAAATCAGCAAAAGGTATTTAAGAAGTTCTTTCTGCCCGATACCGTCCAGCTGAACATGGCTGAGTAGAGCTTAATAGTATAAATTAATATTTGTACACTATTTTGTTCTTGCTTGTCTTTTCTTATATAAAGATGATATGAATAAATAATACAAAGAACCAGAAGTGACCATGAACACGTTTCCATGTTCAGCTTGTAACAGACTAGTTTCTTCGGTACTATTTGAATTCACTGTACATGTGAAAATAAATAAACAACTGGACACTTATAATGCTCAGCTGCTGAGGGGTGTGATACGTGTTTAACTGTTAATTAATCATTTGTACTCACAGTACATTGAGTCATCTGGAGGACTTGGCCTTGAGTTCTGCGTGTATATCCAATATTTATTGAATGATTTTGCACATATTGGCACAAATCTCATCGAAAGTTCACTGCTCTTAAATTTGAATCCAATACATTTATGTTCAGTATATAATTTTTTATTTTCAATGTAATTTCCTTTTTCGCAGCTTTCGTGTTGATTATTTTAATGTAAATCCTTTAATAGTGTTATTTGTTTGTCTATAAAAAAAAAGGTACAATACTTATTGCATACATTTTGTTTTTTCATATTATTTTCTATTCAATATTTATCTTTAAAGCTGTTGTGGGTGAAAACCTCCTCAGTTTACCGGATTCGATCTCTTACCGGGGCGACTTCTCGTTGACGGTGTTGCTTCCCTGGAGGTCTGAGAGCGGCGTGCGTGGACTCTTTCTGCTCACACCTGATCACAAACACACAGGTTGGCAACGCGTGAAGGAACACAAAACCTCACACACACACACACACACACACACACACACACACACACACACACACACACACACACACACACACACACACACACACACACACACACACACACACGACAAACATCCAAACCCCTTCCAAGCAAAACATGTGTTATTGCAGTGAGAAGTTTTGTGCCTTTTTACTGGAATACGATCTACTGCAGATGATTTCATGTTGGAAAAAGATCCGGGAAGTTAATAGTGAGTTTCTCTTGTTAGTGTCGAATTATGGAAGATGATACTGAGTTAATGCAGGTTTGCGTTAAACATTGATTGGTTATTTGAGTTACCAACATTTAAAACAACTTTGTTCCACAATCGTTTGTATAATGAAGCACAGCAGGCAGTCACTATGAAGGTTGGATTAATGAGAAATAAAGAATACTACGTGAAAAGCCTCCAGCTACGGCTCTGAATTCAATCAGAGAACTCTACAGTGAGTCTTATTCTACTTTTAAAAAAAAAAGAGCAAATTTTCAGGTGGCCGTATACCGTTTTCAGTTTCATCACTTTTTACAACATGTTCACTCTCTTCTGGAGCTGCAGGGTGGCAAAAAAAACAAGAAGACACAAACACATCCGAGTGTCATGAAATGTCTGCAGAGGGAAAGGGACGCTCAGTGTTCATATCCCCGCAACTGGCGTATGTGGTACTAGTGGAGGGCAAAGCGGGCTCATTTCAGGGTTGTGCTGTGGTGGAAGAGCAACTACACCCCCTGCCCGCCCCCCCCCCCCCACCCAACACAGACAGGACAACACAGTGCAGCTGTGTGACAAAACATAAAGTGATGGACACCAGGAGGTTTGGCCGCATTGTTTCCCCCACAGAACCAAATCAACTGATTTCAGCGGAAGTGACGCAGTGGCCCCGAAGCACCAGAACAACATGCAGCACGAGACCGAGGACGCACGCATGCAGGCGCATGAGGAAGAGGGAGTAGGGCGGCAGAGGGAGCGGAGACCAACAGGCATCTAGTCTACTGATGGAATGTAAGAGTTGCAAATCAAATCACGGAGCGGAAAATAAAAGCTTTCTGTTTTTAGGTTTGAATGATGGTTTGGATCGCTTAAGGCTCGACTGGGCTGTCAGTGCAGCGCAGTAAAGTTGGCGATGTTGGTCAGCCTCGTCCCCAGCGGTTTTCCCCCCACATGAGAGGAAGGAGGAGTAGTGGTCGTATGGGCAGCCTTACTGTGCTTCTCCTCTTTGCACCTCTGCAGGATCTCTAAGCTCCTCTGATGCACAGGGTGCTGCAGAAAGCTAAAACTATCCACACTTTTCAAAACTGCACAGGGAGCAGCGTCATCATGCCCTTTGAGAAGCAAAACAAAAAGGAGAAACAAGAGACACACAAGAAAAAGAGTAGGGAGGGAAGAGAGAGAGAGAAACGACAGGTTAGACAGCGAAGAAGCAGAGATCAAGAGATGCAGTCGTCTACTGGAGAGATACCTGTGCAAGACTTCGGGAGACAAGATGACTGACATTCAAAACTGCGGTCGGTGGCAGCGTGTGACGTTTGTCATTGTAGTTGTGTGAGAAGGCGTCTTTTACACAATGGCCTTCTGGAGGTTTTCCTCTGATTCTAAACTCCTTGTGCTCTTTGACAAGGTGGGGCTACTTACAAAAAGGTCATTTTACTTTCAACTTGGTGATAATGTGAAAAAAAATGAATTGGTCCAAAACACATTTTGCAGAAATGTGACAGCTTTCAATATCCTTAAAGGTCAGTTAGAAGGATTTCTAAAAGATATCGAAGGGTAAGCAAGAGACACACACACAGCTCCTATCTTCACATGGCAACGTCTACATATAGAACCCAATGAGTGGGAAGGAGCAGAGTCCGGTTCATACGAAGGGAGCGCCGAGAAAAACATCTGGCGCCAACGTCTACAGCACATCGATCTACGGGAGGAGACGGCATTCGTAGGAAGCCAAAGCTGAGAGACACAAAGAGCCGGAGCTGCGGTAGAATACACGTCGGCACTACGCAGACACACACACACACGCACACGCACGACCCGACGGTCTCTACTGAAACACAAAGTACGGCAGCGCGAAGGCAAACTACGAGGAACCGAGCGGACTACGTTGCAACTGTGTGGCATGTGTGCACACAGAAATAAACGCTTTTATCACAAGCTCATTGTATTAAGAATCTTTCTAAGAAATGGTTTTACCAATTTGACTCGCTGCACCACAAATAACCTGCGATGCTCACACGCCATTCAGTGGAATCAAAGCGCTGTGTCGCTTCGCTCTTTCTTAAGAGATGTTGTGACACAATGGGGATTATCACACATTTATTTATTCGTAGAAAATTGCCGCTTTGAATGAATCATTTAAGCAAAAAGGAAACTATCTCAACACAAGCTATCTACTATCAATGGAGTTCTCCGTTCACGTGGCAGCTCACCGGTCTTCTTCTGCGTGTGTCTCTTCCCGGCCTCCCTGAAGGCCACCAGGGCCCTGAAGTAGGCTCGGAGCACCGCCCAGCGGAAGGTGGCCGACGGGTCGATGCCCATCAGGCCGCAGATGAAGGCGTTCTTGCTACTCTTCAGCAAGGCGACGATGTCCGGACGCATGTGGTCCGTGTTCTTCTCCCTGAAGTCCTGCGAGGGCGATTTCAAAAAAAGAGACACGAGGACTTTAATGGAGCTTCCTGGTATCGGCACATTGACAGACGTCCAGAGAAAACGTGAAAGAAAGACGCTCTTCAGAAGCAGCTGATGTTAATGCAACAGAATCAAACAAACAACAGCAGAGGAACATCAATAATGGCTCAAATGACATCATTTGACATTAAACAAAAAAAAAAAACATGTGCGAGCAATGAAGCGTAATAAATACATAACAACGTATTAATAACAAGACAGCTACATTTAGCTGAAAAACATCTGTACGAGCCAAAAGCTTCTCGTTCTCGTCCTTTTAATTAGTGACTCATTGTGGAGGAGGGTGGGGGTCAGGGGGGGCGGGGGGGGTTGGGGATCCGACTGACCTTGACCCCGTACTTGACCTTGCCGGCATAGTGTCGGATGATGAAGGCGGGCTCCATGACAGCGGGGAACTCGATGTAGCTGTTCCCCTCGTGCTGCCGCTTGAATTTATCCAACAGCGTCTGGTTGGTGGCTTGAGGGAAACTGAGGAAAAGAAGGAGTTTGTGGTTTTTACATTTGCTTTTTTAATGTGAAAGTACACGAAGAAAAGAGAGCGGGACAAAGCTCTGAACTGCGCCTCGATAAATCACGCTTGTTGTCTCGTCGTCCACAAAGAGCATCGTGAATTAAGGGTATTGCTTTTTCCACGTCACTTTTTTATAGCAGCCATAACCAAAGACATGTTAAGTTATTTGATCAGTTTGTGCATTTCGCCCCCTGCCACACAAGTTTGGGGCTTGTAGCTTTAAGGGATCCGCGGTTCTGATCCCCCCCCCCCCCCCCCCGGCCCACAGACCGTTAATATCGAGAGCCAGCGATTATGCAGAAAATCAGCCGCTTACAGAAAGAGAAGAGGGGAAGAATGAGGCACCGGGGGCGTTTGGTACGGGGGGAAACTGCACAGCCGAGGACTCAGTGCTCTCCAGCTTTTCAAAGTGGGAGGAATTTGATTCAGTGTCCAAGTTTAGAAGAGGGAAAATTCAAGGAGGAAATACTGTTAGTAAAAATAGCCCCATTACAGTTGTGAAGCTGAAAGGATCCAATTTACATTCTAGGGAACGTGATCCTCCACAGAGTTAATACGGTTATACCGCCAGAAATGCATGAACGCTCAATGCAAATGCACTTATTGTTATGGGACCACGTTCCCATTGTGTGCAGAACCGTTACAACTAAGAAAACAACTAAGAGCTGATTTGTCCTTCGCCTTCTGCTGTTATTGCGAATGTTTGTCGACAACGTGGTGATAAAAGCAAACAGCAAAGTTGTATTTGCCACTTGAATAAAAGCCTCTAAAGCATTGCTGAGATGACTTCACCGCTCTGCGTCTCGCTCTACAAACGGCAACAATCGCACAGTTGTATCTGGTCGTGATGCCCTGAGCTTTCTCCTGTTGGCCACTAGGGGGCATAAACACTGAGGAAGGAGCTGACGGACGGAATAGTGTCTCTGGCCCCCCCGAAGTCGGAGGTGCATCGAAGGACTCACTTGCACTCCTCGTCCAGGAGGTGGAACAGGGCCGTGGGCTTCTTGCTGATCAGGTTGATGCAGCCCGTGTTGTCGATGTAGTCGATGTTTCGCCAGCTGATGCCCTCCGCCCTGTACTCCTCCTGCAGGGACACGCAACGCACACAGAGGCCCGGCCGTCGGTAATAGGACGTGTAGACCGCGCTTTGTGTGGTTTTAAGCGGTTCGGAAAACAGAAATAAAGGATGTGCAACATGTGTAGCGTGCATTTTGTATTCTACTTCTATCATGTGGTCTTTCAATTTTCAATCAAAGCGACAATGTTGTTTGTAGTCCTGCTTTCATGTCATCTCTGCGTCCAATAAAACCACCTTCAGATCTTTTCCTGGCATCTCGCTGTTTTAATAACGAGAGAAGCATTCAGAGCATTTATCATCTACGCTTCCCAATAATTGGTATTTTCCTGTGTCCCTGGGAAAGAGATTTAACCAATAAAGGCATTAATCCAGGGGAGGTCGGATACAAATCACTGGAATCCCCTTTTGTCCCGTCTCTCCCCTTCCTGCCACGGAGTCTGAAGGCTGTTAATTAATGTCGCTTACCCGACGACCCGAAGACAATAAAGCGGACAGAAGAGAAGGAAAGATCCTCCTCTTCTTCAGGATTTGGTGAAATAAAACAAAACGATTGAGCAGAGAGGAATTCCTTTACTTCGGGAGCCACAAACATGTTGGATGCTTCATTAAGATGTTTGAGAGAAACATTCTGTGACACGTTCTTCGTCTCTCGCAGTGGTTTGTAGTTTGTGTTGCCGGGTTTTCTTAATAAGAAACTATTAATACAGAAGATAAAATAAGTGTGAGTAAATTCTTGTTTTATTCTGTTGTTCTTGTTTTAACGTCTGGCTGCGAAACCAGGTGGGTGAGGAAAAGGCAAAGCTGAAGAACAGGTCCGTCTTTTCCTCCTGTAAACACTCCACACACACACACACACACACACACACACACACAGTGGAAACTATAACAGCGACACCTGTGCAATACAACCCAACCGGCGACGGCTCTGGGAAGCGCGTTCGTGAGCCTTGTAACATTCAATTTGTGTCAGATGGGCGCTGACTCAAGCCCCCAGTGATCACTGGGCTGTGGTTTGGGATTGGATTCTATTCCACGGGCTGCGGGTACCTGCCCCCTCGACGTCACTCAACAGGCGCTGCGACACCACGTCTTCCTACCAGTTGTCTTCAGTTTGTGCCAAATGCGTTTAATCAATTTGTCCATATAAATCATGTAACTCACGATAAGCCATTCGATGCCTTTGTCTGTACTGACTGTAACTTATCGCGTGATTATACTGTAGAATTGTAGTATAAATATTATCATGCATCAACAATCTCTTCTTCCGCTCGTCTTTCAGCAAATGTAATAACTGGCCGAGAGGTTGTTGGAAAAGTTTGGAAAATAGACAAAAATAAAGGAGAAATGAGAGCTATTCCCCTTTAACGTAGCGCTCACTGCGTACGTTGCTGTGGACGTGAAGCTGCGACAGCTCGCGGTCCGCTTCTCCTGCTCGAATCATTTCGGGCCGCCTCGGTTGTGCGCATGGATTCCACGCGCAGTAACGTGTGTGTGAGCGTCACAGGTCATAAGCTCCCCCAGTGTGGTTTAAATGTTTAAGGTCATAATATCACAGTAACACCAAATCAAGATGGTTTTGTTTAAGGATTAAAGGTTTTATTCTCGTGTGAATGTAGGGGCAGTTTGACCCTCGGGAAACCAAAGAAATCAATAGCGGAACACATTTTTGGGGGTTTTAGGGGTAAATATATGGAAAATGAGGAAGGGAGGGGGGGGGTGAGCTGCAGAATCAGGTCACTGTGCACACAGACTCTATGTGCACAGTGAGGATGCTCACTGTCTCTCTTTAATACATGTTAGTGATTCATAAGATTATGTCGACTAATCGACAGATGTGTCAACACAGAATCACAAAACAAACACTTTTAATCTTGTGCGACAAGCGTTGATAATTCAACTAATCAACCGAGTAGGAGAAGAGCCGCGGGGGTCTTTTTCTCTGCAGAGGTTGCATTGAAACACGCAACCCGTTTTCTTTAGACTTGAACTCTCAGGCTTAAACCGCCAGAAACCATCAGATCTTGTGAAAATTAAACAAACAAAAGCAAATCTGAGTCGTCCTTAATGCTGCATTTCACTCGTCTTCAACCCCCAAAGACACAGAAGCCTTTGAAGTCTCAGACTGCACACCAGCAAACCACATCCTCACATATTCATGACATGAGGGCCGGACGGGATTTTGTGAACAACTGCCTTTGTGGAGGAACCCCCCCCCCCCCCCCCCCCTACCCCCCAGCACCCCCTCCTCCCCTCGGCGTTATCCACAAACAGCCCATCAAACACGTCGGGGCACGTCGGTCTCAAAGGTAAACGCAAAGTTTTGACACGCCCGCAAATCTCCCGGCTCGCGACTCTGAAAAGCCCCCTTTGAAGCGAGTCCGCTCACCCGATGGCGACCCGCCGCATCCCCCGAAACGGGCCGCGGCCCAGCGGCCTCGTTGGGGCGTTAAAGAGGCGTCTTACTTGTTCGAGCTTGAAGATGTGCTGGTTGAAGTAGTGCTGCAGGCGCTCGTTGGCGAAGTTGATGCAGAACTGCTCGAAGCTGTTGTTCTCGTAGTCCTCGAACCCGAAGATGTCGAGCACCCCGATGGACAAGATCTGAGGCGGACAAACGCACAAAAGCACATTTAAAAAAATAAAGTCAGCAGTCTTTGATACTCAGCGTGCCGCGAAGAGGTCGGCGACGGCCCACCTTGGTGGTCTCCTCCAGGTCCCTGATGTTGAGCAGCGCGTGGTTGATCCTGAAGACGATCCAGTCGAACAAAGCGCTGTAGAGGGACTTGGCCATGGAGTCTCTCACCGTACCGGCCTGCACACAAAACCCGCACAGCGCGTCTTTATAGCCTCACTTCCAAACGGCGATATCTCAGCTGGCAACGCTCGATTAACGCCAGCGAAATCAAACCTTCGGACTTCAGCGCGTATAATTCAGGAGCTGCTCGACAGACAATGACGGTTTTCCTTTTTATACCCAAATACGCTCAATTCTAGTGTGGTGCTCTTTGCCTCTATGTTGTTTTCCTACATGGATTCATCCCACGTTGAGTAGCACAGTGAGCTGCATTGCTGTTGGACGGTGGACAGTGTATCTTTTGCAGACAGCTAAGCTTATTTTGTTTTTTGATCTTTATCCAAAACCAAGCTGAAGGGCTTCTAGTTTAACACACACAGTTGTATCAATCTCGTTATCTAACAGTCAGGAAGAAAGCGAACAAGCGTTACTCCCCCAAATGTCCAAGTGAAGTTTACGATGCCCATTAGAGCCCATTAGAACCAGAGGTTTGACATCAGTCACCTGCTCGCTCACAGTGCTGCTCACATCTGTATCGTGCATTAGAGCTCGGCACTTTTATCCAGGTCCAAGATACAGGGTTTAAATATTCAAAGCAAAATGGCTTCATATTAAGGTCAAACTGTCTCAGAGAACACTGGCTCGGTTTGAAGAAGATTATTTAAAAAGAAGATGTGCAGACGGTTGCATTTCTCCTCCCTAAACGGTCCTTTATGGTTTGAGTGTAAATCACATCTGCTCTGGACGTCTAGCCGCCGCTGCAGCTCCGACTGGAAAAAACACATGATGGGCCCTGAAAGGTAGAAATGAGATCAACAGGACCAACCGGACAAGTCTGCTACCCAAACAAGTCCCCTGCGTTGACATTCTGGACTGAAAGTTTGGCCCAGAAGGCCCGAACAAGCTGGCGCAGGTTATTAAACCGCAGGTGCACGAGGGCGACACGGGCAGTGTGATGCAACAGGGGGGGGCGAAGCTGCAGGACGATACAAGTCATGCATTATTTTAATTATTATTAGCTATTAGATTCAATAGGCTGAACATAAACATAAAGAGGGAGATTACAGGACCAAAGCTTCCTCGTCAAATTATTAGGGGGGGGGGGGGGTTCTAATTCTCGGATCCGCTGGAAAAATGTGACCTCGCTGCAGCAAAGGTGAGCCGGAGCGTCCAGAAACCAAACAAGCCCCTGAAGTGGCCTAAATAATTAACTGGGCTATTTTTCGCTAACCTCAAACCGAACGTCCTCTCCACGAGTCGGGAAGGACATTTCTTTTGAGCCCCGTACGTACTGACCCCAGATGACCCCGGATGACCCCAGAGCGTTTCATTATTCAGAGGAAGTTGCACTAAAAGCGCTCGGACTGAACCGGCTTTAAAACTCTGAAAGCCATCACCCAGACGCTGAGATTTCTTCGAGGGCCTTTGAGTGTATGATTTCAGCCAGTGAGATTGTTGTGACTGTTGAGAGGAATATTTACACAGAGACCACCCAGTGAGCTACCAAAACAACCGGTGTTTGTGCATCGGAAAAGCCCCCTAAATATCCCACAGGCCATTAGGCCTCGGATGTGCGAGACTTTGTGGTCAAATGCTGCCGTATTCACGCTGGAAAAAAAACAGAAGACGAAACGGTTTAACACATGGCATCCATTGAACGTGAAATATTGGGAGGCATCGTGAGAACTTGAAAAGAGCGCGCGTCTCCATCCGAGCGACCTGGCGCGTTGCGGCGTGCGTCCACGCTGTCCTCCTGCAGACGACGGCGGGAGGACTCGCGTGTGTGTGTGTGTGTGTGTGTGTGTGTGTGTGGCCACGGACTGAGAGAGCAGCAGGAGACCTTTCAGAAAGGCTCAGTCGCCCTCCTCAATCTCTGGGTCGAATGCAACGTCCCAGTAACCACACACTGATCCATGAATCTTCCTCCTCCTCCTCCTCCTCCTCCTTCCTCTAGAATCAGAACGTTAAGTATCACCACGCTCAGCTTTACCCGCTCAACGTTTCCTCCTTTTTTTCTCTCACCGTCGGGGTCATTTAAACGTTGCCGGGGGTTTTTTCTCCCCGGTATCTGCCGCGTTGATGGAGCCGACCTTAACGTGCGCTTTGGTGCTTTACCGGGAGGAGAGTCTCACCTCCGAGAGCTTGTAGGGAACAATCAGCCGCTCGCCCACCGTCACCGTCTTCCGCGTCGTCAGCGCTTCAAACAACATCTCCTCTTTGACCTGATGAGCGAGAGAGCGAGAGATAATCTCCACTTAAAACACGATAACCCGTCATTTCATTCACTGCACTTGGGTGTCGGCTTTTCACCCAAAGTGCTGTCGACGGTACGTGATGCGACCACAGAATCCTGGATGCTCATTTAGAGTTCTGATATCTGACACTTTCCACTTGGGTTGCCTTTCTTCTGCAACAGCGTAAGTTTACATAAGTGTGTGTCTGCAGGTTGACAGCTTAAAGAAAATCCACACCGGCAACAACAAACGGCAAATGATCCACAGACAGCGGTGATGTAAGACAAGTTTAACCACATTTCTGGGACGAGGACATCAAACCGTCACTTGTGTAATTTTAACATTGACTACTTCAAGCTACGAAGCAAATTTAGGTTCAACTTTAGCTTCCCAGTAACACGGTAACACACAGATTGCACATGTTACGTACTGTGTAACGTTAATGTCAGACTGTTTGAGGACAGTTTGTCTGTGTGACGTCACAGAGGTCTTTTGTTAACATGTTTAAACCAGAGCGACTGGCTTTTATTCCATTTTAATCCACGTCATAGCTGGACTGTTTGGCAATAAAAAAAACAAAAAAAGACGCTCGCACCAGGAACACACTCGAACACCTGAACCAAGACCAGGAACATTGTGTTTTAAAAACATAAAACAGTTTTCAAATTCTATTTTTGCCGTACCTCCAGCAGCTCGGAGACGACGGGCAGCACCTCTGGGTTGCAGATGTCGATGGAGTCGTCCCTGTAGGCTTTCTTCTTGTAGCGGATGTTCCCCAGGTGGAGGATGGCCGACAGCAGGCAGAAGATCCTGCAAACGGCAAGAGGTCACCGGTGCTCTTAACGGGCAGAAACCTCTCATGTCATCAGGGGGACATATGATTGAAATACGGATGGAAATGGAAACGTGTCACTCACTTCTTCCGCGTGGAGGGAAGAAAGCCCACCATCTCCATGGCCAGCTGAAGCCTCTCAAAGTCATGCTTCAGGTCTTCTCCTTCCACTGTGAAGCAGTCCTGCAGAAACCAAAAGTAGAAAAAAAAAAAAAAGCAGCAACCAGGTGTCACCAAGTTTACAAAAGCTGTTGCGACTGAAAGCCAAACGAGCTGATGGAGGACTTAAAGGCCGCTGACACAAACACGTCGGACACGAATCCGACAAAAGGCGGCAGAAATAGTTGTGTTTTTTTTTGTTTACTTGGCGGCTGATGCAAAAAAAAAAAAAAAAGTGTCCCGAAGCAGACGGAATGAATGACTCACGCTGCAACAAGCTATCATTAAGAGGCTCGGGGGTCAAACCCTCCAGTCTGGTGGTGCAGGTTCTGCTCGTGTGGTGGAAAATCCCCTTTTAAACCAATCCACAGAATATTGGCGAGCCGGTTAAAAACAGGAGCCGAGGTTTGGGGCCGCTCACGTGTCGGGAGCGACGCTGATGGAGCAGAGAGGGAGTGCTGTTCTGACGCAGCGGCAGTGATGCGTGCAGGCCGGCCCTCGCATGCACATGTGATAAACGTGAAGATGAAACGAAGCAGCCGGAGTAGTGTTTTAAAAACAAATGCACGTGAGCAGCGGTAAAATCCTGGATGGATCTGGATCTTTTCTGAAAGAGCTTTCCCCCCCCCACATGCTTTCATGTCGCTGCTGCATAATTGTACAGGTCTCCACTGCACAAGCCCCCCCCCCCCCCGTACCGTGAGCCCTGCTCTATGCTTTATGGGCCCATTCCAATATGGCTGCCATAATTATCAAATACCGCCGCAAAAGGAAAACCGTTCTAACACGAGACTCGTCGCTCTGTGCCTTCACTCACCCGTTGACTCCGGTGTTACATTTCTAGAGCAGCAAAATCTGTATTTATTCAACGAAAATGTTGTTATAACCCAGATCTGTATGTGGAGTAACAATGTGTCGATTCCAGATGATGTAAATGTTTTGTGAATCATATATAAAAGCAATAAAAATGATAGATTGCTACTTTAACCATTAATTCCAACACAAATCACACATGACTTCTCTGATCATTGACATCACTGTCTTCCCGCTGCAGAGTGCGATTTGAATCTGAGCCAGCGACTGAGAGGTGAAGGTGTGTCTTAATAAGCCACAACGTAGACGTAACTCGGGGGAACGTAAACGCACTGCGGCCCGGCCGCCGACCGCCAAGCGATGGGGACTGTTGCTACGGGAAACCGGTCACTGATCAAAGAAGTCAAACGGGTTACAGCAACAAAAGGCGACTACAGGATGTGACTAGAGAGCCCAACTTAACTGAGGGAGGGGGGAACAAATACACCAAAACCAAACCAGGAAATATCCCAAGAAGCACCACAATCAGCAGGAGTGGGAGGAGGGAAGCGAGGGTGCAACTTGTGCATGAGAGGGAATGGGGCGGGTGAGGCGGGTGAGGGGTGAGGCTCGAGTGGCAGATGCTCAGGTGACCACAGACATCTACTTGCTGAGGGTTTCAGCGCGTGGGGACACACAGATACTGACCGCTTCACTCTCACAGTTACTGTCCCAGCGCAGCTGCTGGGTGGACTTTGTCATCTGGAAATGTTAAGGCAGAGTTTACAGGGGGGCGGTGGGCAGGTTAGACAGCAGCAGTCAATGAACACACACACACGCACGCACGCATGCACGCACACGTCGACCTGCACACCAACAGCGAGCCGTCGGGACGAAAAGGCGACGGCCGAAACGCGGCAGCTCTTATTTGTTAACAACAGGCGGACAGATATCAAGGGAACGCAGTCGGAGCGCGAGGACACGGGAGGAAGAGAGAATATTCACAGGGAATAGAACATGATCACATGATTAAACACATCCAGTCACTTGAACTCACTCGAGATGTGAGATGTTCCGCAGTGAACAACCTCCTCGCGTGATGTTCCAGTTTGTGAGCAGGAACCGTTTTTTAAATGATGGGTGTCCCTAAATGCACCACCTTAAAAGAGCTTTTCTCATTAAAAATAAGACAAATTGAAAGACTCTCTGAAATTACTTTTCATTTACAATTTAGATAAACCAGATTCCTCAAAATGAGGACTCTAGAAAACCCGCAGCTGGCTTTCATAATGCACATTTGTGGTTGATTGACAGATGCAAATACCACTCGGCGTGGACAGCAGAGACAGCAGAGCGTGGTTCTCTTTCTCAGAACAGAGAAACACAAGGGATGGTTAGAACGAGAACAGAGGGGGGGGGAAGAATGCGTGCGCGTCGCCATGTCCGCGTGCGTGTTTGCACGCGTGTGTGTTGGTGGCCGGCGGGAATGGAAGGAATTCCCTGGACGGCTACATCCTTCACGTAGGCGTGACACATTCAGCAGGGGAGCCGGTCCTCGGCTGTCACCGCGCGGGAAGCGAAGCGGCGCAACAAGTCTTACACAACATCCGCATTCCGTGCATTTAATGCGTGCGCTGGTTTGCTCATTGTGGCTTTGTTTTACAGTTATGCGAAACCTGTTCTTCGCCGTGGGTAACACACACACACACACACACACACACACACACACACACACGCGCGCGCACGTGAGATATAATTACGCCAACAGAATACAAATGAATACAGAATCAACTAAACTCAAACCGGTTTGAAATAAAAACCCGTGTGCAGAGATTAGACAGCTCCATGTGCATGAGGGAGAGAGGGGATGCTGGGATCGAACCACCGGTCGCGGGACAAACGAGGAGGAAGACGCAGATCGGCCAGCGGGAGAGACCCAAACCGGACGCATCGGTTGGTTTTTGTGCGTCTGGACGCGAGGGGCCCACCTGGCTGAGGTAATGGTATTCCTCGGGCTTCATCAGGTGAAAGGCTTCCCTCTCTTCGTCACTCGCTCCTGCCAGCAGGTAGTAGAACACGTGGTAGTTTCTGGAAACAAAAAGGGAAATTTCCATTTAAAGTTAGTGCGAAGGCCTCGCCGCTCACCAATCCTTATGATGTCGTTACCGAATAATAAATGAAATGTTCATTTTAAAATGCCTTAACTTTGAATGTTAACTTTATCCTTTTCAGAATGTTTATAACCTCACAGTTAACGAGCTGATTTGTAGCAAAAGTAGTTACAGTCTGAGGGAACCTCTCGTGAACTGATCTGTTGGGGGCAGTAAAACCTCCGACGTTGCAAAGACAAAAGCAAGCGGCTTAAAAAAGGAACCATGAAAGCTTCGGCCGCATGTTTGGCTTGTGTGTGTTTGTTTCTGTGCAATGTTTTTCCCCTGAGAGCATCTCTCAAACGTGTGCAGCGCACACACACACACACACGCTCACGCTATTATTGTCCTGGAGGCAGCAATCCATGTCACCAAGAGGTGGCTAACGGCCCACTGTGAGCCCCCCGTGGTGAGGTTCGCCCGCTTACTCTTAACAACCGGCCTTCTGAGTCGCACGCATCTGTGTTTCCCTGATTGTGATGTGCTCACCGCTCATTGTGCTCCTGATACACCAGCCTGGACTTCTCCAGCAGGTATTTCTCCACATACGCTCTGGGAAGAAGGTCACAGCATACATTTGTTAACGTTCGTCCCTTTTCTTCTTTCCGTCTGGTTCCTGCTAGGCCTCGTTTCTCACCCTCTCACAGTTCCGCTCTCCTGGTAGTTCACCTGGATGAACTTGCCGAAGCGACTCGAGTTGTTGTTGTGCGCCGTCTTCGCGTTCCCAAAAGCCTGCAGGGGAAAGATGGGAACACGTGCTTGAGACAAATACAGAACACAAAAGACACAAACAGGAATAGCCCACACATGCCGTATCGCACACACACACACGCACGCGGGTTGGAGGTCGGGTTCTGGGGCGGGTTCTTCAGGTGTGGATGGTTTGCTTGTTTGAGCCGAGCACACGGATCGTTTGACCTCGTCAGTCCGAGGCGGATGATTAATAACGTGGTTTTAAGGATCAATCCGAGTCAGAGTCGGGCTAATTGTGGGGGATAAAAGGAGCAGGGTCCTGATACAAAAACAAAATCTTGTGATTAATGGGCTCCATGTGGCCCCGCGTGGAACGTGTAGCGGTCGGGCTTTTAATAAGACGCTCCAGTATTTCCCCTCGCGGCTCTGTTTATGCTGTCCGGCTGCCCGGAGGGGAAGTCGTTCCTCGGGCCCGTATAAACCCTGCAGTTATTTGTAGCTCCGCCACAAGTAAACAAATTCCTCAGCACATCAGCCCTGAGCTGCACCCGAGCCCCGCGCCCGAGGAACCCGGAGAACGGGGGGTCCTCGCACCCGAATCCAACCACAGGCGAGTCTCTCGGATTAGGATTCGATTTACGTCAAAGTCTCGGTGGCGCTCCGCCTCCCACACAGCCCCGAATCCAACAACTGGAACCCGAGCAATGAACTTGCTGCTCATGTGTGACTCAGTGAGCTGAACAAATGATTGAAAGTGGGCCGACGCTGCGGAAAGGCCGGTTCCACTCTGCTGGAGCTCGGGAAGGTCGGACTGCAGAGCGGTCCGGAAAAATGTGGATTTCGGGATGCAACGCCGGATTTTGGTTGATATTTCCAGAGGAGCGGGCGGCCCGTCTATGAACCGGCTGCCCCACCTGGTTCAGGAAGCACAGGTCAGACGAGGACGACTTCCTGACTGCACAGCCAATGGAAAGCCGGCGCTCCGTGACCACCGCCCCGCTCGCGGGCCGCCTGAGGAACACTGTTTGCTTGACATTTAGCATTTTACGTTGGGCCAGCAGGAAGCAGGATGTGAAAAAACTAAAATACTGCGGGCTGATTTATGTTAAGGTAAAAGAGAGACGGACACATGCAAATACAGCCGTAGCGTTTCCTCCCAACACGCCAAAATGAAGGGACGAGCGAACATCCCTCACTCTGCCCTCTCACCATCAGATCTGTGGCTCTGTGTGCAAACAACACCCAACAGCAGCGGGGCGCTCGGAGGCTAATCTGGTAAACCCGGGGCGAGTTGAGGTGAAGTGGGAAGCCGGTTTGGAGAAAAACGCACGGTCCCACCGCCGATTCCCCAAAAAGGAACACCGGGAACCCAAAACCTGTTTGTACAGACAGTGACTCTCCCCACTTGGGTCACTCCGGCAGGTCAACAACATTGTTCTTGGCTTCGGCCCACAGACGGAGCCGAGAGGCCGACTGGAGGCGGTGCCAGCGCGCTCCGGCTGTGTGGTGTCCACAGGAGGAAGCCTGGAGGTCAGACAGAGACGACCCGAGTGATCCTGTTGGTGCACGGCGAGTCGAAGCGAAGGAATACGTAGTGTACAACGTCGCAGATGCAGAGCGGGGAAATACCTCCGGTCACATTAGGCCCTCAGAGGCCGAAACAAAAAGCTGCTTGATTTAACTCACAAAGGGATTATCTTTCAGTAAGTCATCATCTGCTTGAGGGAGGGGGGGGGGGGGGGGGTTACGAATGAATTTCCCTAACGGGTTGTGTCGGGAGGGCGTGTGACTGCGCCGCCCCGCACTGTACACAGAGCAGCGCTTTGTCCGACTTTCAAAGCCACTTTTAAGTGGAGTGAGCCGTGGAAAACGGGCATTCTTCCGACTGCGAAATTGTCACCAAACGCGTTGCATTCCTTTCCCTTTCCTGCAGCGCCGGCGCTTCCCTCGCGACTCAATGGTCACTCGGAGGCATCGCTCATTTGACCCTCGCCGGATCCTCGTCCTTTTCACGAGCCCGTTGCCACGGTGACTCGCCGGCCACCGAACGTGGTCAGAAGAAGAGGCACGCGTCACGCCGTGTGTGGGCCGATGGCGCTTCTCCTGACCTCATTATGGTGACAAGTCCCAACCGTGGCGTCCGCGCTACATTTATACATTTAAAAAGGCCGAGCATTTCCTAACATTGCACCAAATCCTGTCGGTGTAGATTCCTCTCTCGGTGTAGCGCTCTGATGGTCCAGTGAAACTCGCCGCACAGACGTCGCGCTCGACAGGTTGTGCAACTCTGACGAGATGCGTCACGCTGAAATGTGACTGTGTTGTTTTTAGCCATTTGTTTGCATGCGTTTGTCATACTGCCTCTTGGTCAGGTCGTCATTGTAAATGAGAGTTGGTTCTCAATGGATTTTAACCCGGTTAAATAAAAGGTCAAATAAAAAAATTAAAAAAGAAGCGGCACGAAGCGGCTTTCAGGTTTTTGACCTCTTGTTGTGTCCAAGAGAATGTCAGCCTCAGCATATTTTTTGGTTTATTTTAATGAAATCCTGGTCACACACGTGTTGTTCTGGATCACGCTCTATCAACACGGATGTAAGAACATGTGCTAAGCATCAAAGATTACTTTTCTCACACTACAGCCCGAAGAATAATAAATAAACACATAAGATCATCTCATGAAACAATTTAAATCAATACATGCAAACACTTTTCTAATTTTTAATAATAAATGGACGTTTCTGAACCAAATCACGTTATAACATGAACACGTTCTTGTTTTAATTAAATGAAATAGTTTTTTTATATGATATATAACAATAACATATTTGATAATACTACCAAAAATATCTAGTTACAACATAAAAAGGGATCTCTCTGAAACATCAGGGCCAACTGTTCCCCTGTTCCTGCTAAGCTAAGCTAACCGGCTAACTGTAGCCTCTTATTCAAAAGACAGATGTGGGATGGTTTATGTTTTCTTATCAAATAAAATGAAATAAACGCCAGACACTTCTTTGGAAAAGCACATGAATCGCTGGACAAAAACGTGCGTTACCGAGAACAAAACCCAAGAAAGAGCTAATTAGAGAAAGCAGAGGCCCTTTGATCAGTTTTGGGCCGATCGGAGTCCTGAGTTTGTGGGAAGGAAGCGAGCATTAGTCACAGGGATGGAGATGAAAGCCGGACATAATAGAAAAAATAATCACAGATCTCCAGGAGTCCTCAACTATCGCAGACATCTCTCATACAACATAAACCTCGGGGAGTTACAGAAGAACAGTGCAGCGGGTGCATTCCTGCGCCGCCAAGGCCCCCTCGGACGGGAGCCAGAACCAAGAAAACCTCAAAATTAGCGATTCATTTCCCATGACGCCCCGTGAGTTGCGGACCCGTTTGTGACTCCTCCGAGGGGCCTCGGGGGAGGGAGGGGGGGGGGGCTCGAGAAGAGAGACTAAAAACGAGCGAGGAAATGAAATAGACCACGAGCACATTTGGGTGAATCCATTTCCCGTGCTTACCGATAATGATCTGAGCAGCGCAGACGGACTTAAGTCCAGAAGATCTCGTCCTTCAGATGAGACATCGGGACATTCGCAATAATCGCTGTTCCCGGCAGTGTGATATTGAATATTCAGGGGGGCACTCGGGGGGGGCGAGCGGGTGAAACACCTGAAACGAGAGTGGGATTACAGCGTCTCTGTTGTGGAGCGTTCGACAGCGACGGAACGAGCAGAAAAGCACAATGAGACGAATGTCCACGGCGTCACAAACTAAACAGGAAGAGCGTGAGACAGAGACCCGCGGAGACAAACCGGCTCACAACAACAACAGCAGTGTTGCTTTCGCTCACGCGCACAATCTGCTCAAATAAATACACAATCCTAACTACTCGCTGGTATCGAGAACACTGGAATTAAAGAGTCAATGATGGTTTCTGCTGCGGCTTCAGTGGGTTAAGATGATATTTATCTACATAGCAGTTCTAAAGGGCTTTAGACATTTAAACTTATATAACTATGAATGGGACTTTAGAAAGTCTTTAAGGATTAAGGAGCCTTTTATAAGACTGTGGCGTTTTAAAAATAATACTAAAAGTATAAAGGGAACATTTTTATTCCCTTATACTTTCAGTTTAATCTCGGGATTGAGGATTACGGGTGGACGGCAAAAAAAAAGTATCCCCGAAATATCAACAATCACAGAAATAAAGATTAACAACATTAAAGTTACAGTTCAGACATCGACAGATGGACTGAGACAATGAAAAGTCCCGTGTGTGTGTGTGTGTGTGTGTGTGTGTGTGTGTGTGTGGATGCCTGGGGGTGACTATTTGCAGCAGAGGCCTCGTCCTCTCGTGTGGCGCTCAGCTGCTCGGCGGCGTTTATTTCCAACGCGGTGAAGATGCCTTCGACCACGCGTCATTTGTTGGGCACCAACCTCGTTGTTCCTGCTCTTTCTGCCATGCGACGCATTCAAAGAAGCCAAACATTTCCTGGGCTGAACTTTTGACCCCCCCGGTGTTACGCAAGAGCGCCCGGTTTGTGAAGTGTGACAGAGAGAAAAGTTGTCGTGGTCAGAAAGAGGTGTTAAAGGAATGCAGATCAGAGAAGCTTTTCGCTTCACTTCTCCTGGTTCACTTTATCCTCAATCGGCTAAAATCAGCGCTCGGTTTCCAAAGCACAGCGGATCATATTCAAGAAATGATCAGCATTAGTTTTCTCTTTAAGGGAAAAGGTCAAATATTGAAGCCCTGACACTAGAACTCCGTCCCTTTGAGAAGTGACGGCGGTTCTTTTTGCCAACGTACGGGACATGAACCTGTAGACGGAGCAAATCAACTTTTGTTTATTGTGGTTTTGAAGCTCTTTAATCGTGAAATATGAATGAAGCAAACAGGAACCTCAGATCCTTCCGGCCCTTCTGATGAAGGAATGCAAACGGGTTCTTCTTTCCGCAACATGGTAAAAAAAAAAACAACAACGTACGTTTCCGTTCACATTCATATCATTCCTGTTTCACGCACGTGTGTGCTTTCACGT